TTTTATTTTAAAAGTTATCAAATTTTAATTCAAAATGTTTTAATTTTCCAAAGAAGTGTAAAAAGCCTAATGTTTTTGAAATGCTAGTACAGACGGTACAGACTGTTTGTTATGAATGTACATAACCTAGCGTTGTGTTGTCTGTTCATTATTATTTAATATAATAATAATAAAATCATTAAATTTAGAATATAATATCACAAGCACGACAACACAACGCTAGGTTATGTACATTCATAACAAACAGTCTGTACCGTCTGTACTAGCATTTCAAAAACATTAGGCTTTTTACTCTTCTTTGGAAAATTAAAACATTTTGAATTAAAATTTGATAACTTTTGAAATAAAACATGTTTTTTAACATAAATTTCAAAAGAATTTCTATGATAAAATCATTTTTTTAAATAAATTTTCAAGTAAAAACCTTTTCAACATTTACTTATTCAAAAATACCCGCCATGAAAGTACATTTTCCGACCGTGAAAATTCATCGAGCCGATTGCTTGACCAATCCACCGGAGGTATAGAAGCACCTTTAGAAATTCGACGTTTTGAAAATTCTATGTTTTATAAATTTGGTACTTTGGAAATTCACTCATACGAAAATTCGGTTAACTACAGATATGGTTAAATAAAAATTTGATTAAATAAAAATTATTTTAAATATAATTTCAACTAAATATAAATAGTTGTACATCAAAATTATGTTAAATATAAATTCTGTGAGATTATAGCTCAATTACATATATTTTACGTTACATAAAAATTCGATAATATAGAAATACTACGAAATGAAAATTCTGATAATTGACAAATTTTTTAGGTTATAATCCTTTTAAATAAACTTTTATGCACTTAAAATTTCATTTAAGCAAAATTTTTATTTTTTAAAATACATACTAAAAAAAAACGCTGAACAACTAAATGTTCTATTCTTTCATATTTCCCTACATGGATATTTTTATAAATTAATATACAGTCAAATGAAAAAAGTAGTTAATAAATATTTTTTCAAATACTAATTTCTTGTGATAAAAATTTGTTTAAAAGAAAACTCGAATTATTGCAGTTCTAATAAGTAGATATTTTAAGTATTTTATTTCGATACCACAAAAATTGTTGCAAGTTCAATGTGGGGAATATTCATGCGTCCCATTTTTTGACATCCGAGAGTCATTGTACGGCAAATATCTTCGACTTAAATAAACTTTTTGTTTTTTTTATTTCAGTCCCTCAGAAGGCCGCAATCACTGCAGCGCAGTGGGAAAACTGGATTTTTTTTATATAGCGAATAACTCTTAATTAAAAAAGAATATTTTTCTTTGAAAAAATTACAAAATGTTGACTATTTATACAAATATGTATACATGTACAAAACTGTATAAAAAATTAGATGCAATAATTTCCCTGAAAAAAATTCCTAAAAATCACCGTTTTCTTCAGTCACTCGCACTAAACTTTTATAGTAATGTAAATTTTATAAAAAAAGTATAACAACTTTTAATGTTTCAAAGATTTATTCACGATTATAAAATAAAATGTATGTAGTTCTACAATTATAAATAAAAATATAATTTTGTTTAATATAAAATGTGATTTTATTTCGAATTTATAATAACAATAACAATAATAATAATAATAATAATAATAATAATAATAATAATAATAATAATAATAAGTCAAGACTATTTAATAAGTAAACTGTTTTCGAAGAGCCCAAAAATAATGAAGCTAAATCCCATAAAAAAAGAGGAAAAAATGTTGCATTTTAAGCAATTCGGATATTTGAATTTTTGATAATATTAGATAATTTTAAATTTTTTATCAAAGAGTCGAGGCTATTCAATAAGTAAACTATTTTCGAAGAGCCCAAAAGTAATGAAATTATATTTAAAATTGCACTGGAATGTCGTAAAAGTTTGACCTATAAATCATGGAAAAGGTATGGAATTTTAATTTCGGATTTCTGTAGGAATCTTGTTATTTATTTACAATAAAAATTTAAGTATTACTTACATATAGAATCTATTTCTTATTTAAAGTAGAGAGTAATGCAATTTAATATTCACTATATAAAGAAATAACAAAATAATAACAATACACAATATTTTATTTAATTTGAAAATAATTTTAATTTATGCACATTAATTAATTAATTAATTAATTAATTAATTCATTCATTCATTCAATCATTCATTATAAATAGATAAAAGAAACTTGAACTCTTCATTTAGAAGCGAAATATTTAGACAAATAAGAAATATTCACTACTTTTTTTTAACGATCATCTTACTGACTTCTAAATAAATCAATATTACATTAAATATACATAATAAATTCACAATTACACAATAATAAGAATAACAATATTAATAATTATACTATAAACAGATTAATATTTATAAAAATTTGTAAAACACATATTCATATTACTAGAGCCATCTATGATTGTAATAGATAATCACAATTTAATTTAATTACCTTATAATAAAAACTATAATATAAATTAAAATAATCATAATAATAGTGATACTTATATAACAAAAAAATAAACATTTACTGACAAGTAATTAGTAAACAAACAAAAAAATTTTACTCAATAAAAAAAATTGTCACTTACCAAAACGATTTCAAATCTCGCGCACTTTCAAAATTCCCTAGGAAGAACATATTACATAGATAGTAAACTCAGATGTTAAATTCTCTTCGATAAAATGAACATTCGAAGTTTTAAAAATTCGATCAAATTAACATTCGGAGTTTTAAAAATTCTATCAAATTAACATTCGAAGTTTTGAAAATTCGATGTAATGAGCATTCGAAGTTTTGAAAATTCGAACAATTGAACATTCGAAGATTTGAAAATTCGATGAAATGAGCATTCGAAGTTTTGAAAATTCGATCTAATGAGCATTCGACGTTTTAAAAATTCGATCAAATGAACATTCGAAGATTTGAAAATTCGATCTAATGAGCATTCGAAGTTTTGAAAATTCGATCTAATGAGAATTCGAAGTTTTGAAAATTCGATGTAATGAGCATTCGAAGTTTTGGAAATTCGATGAAATGAGCATTCGAAGTTTTGAAAATTCGATGACATGAACATTCGACTTTTTAAAAATTCGATCTAATTAACATTCGATGTTTTAAAAATTCGATGAAATAAGCATTCGAAGTTTTGGAAATTCGATGAAATGAGCATTCGAAGTTCTGGAAATTCGATGAAATGAGCATTCGACGTTTTGAAAATTCGATGAAATAAGCATTCGAAGTTTTGAAAATTCGATCAATTTAACATTCGAAGTTTTAAAAATTCGATCTAATGAACATTCGAAGTTTTGAAAATTCGATGAAATGAGCATTCGACGTTTTGAAAATTCGATCAAATGAACATTCGAAGATTTGAAAATTCGATCAAATGAACATTCAAAGTTTTGAAAATTCGATCTAATGAGCATTCGACGTTTTGAAAATTCGATGAAATGAGCATTCGATGTTTTGAAAATTCGATGTAATGAGCATTCGACGTTTTGAAATTTCGATCAAATTATCATTCGATGTTTTAAAAATTCGATGTATTGAGCATTCGAAGTTTTTAAAATTCGATGTAATAAGCATTCGATGTTTTAAAAATTCGATGAAATGAGCATTCGAAGTTTTGGAAATTCGATGAAATGAGCATTCGAAGTTTTGGATATTCGACGAAATGAGCATTCGACGTTTTGAAAATTCGATAAAATAAGCATTCGAAGTTTTGAAAATTCGATCTAATGAGCATTCGATGTTTTAAAAATTCGATGAACTGAGCATTCGACGTTTTGAAAATTCGATCAAATTAACATTCGACGTTTTAAAAATTCGATCAAATTAACAATCGATGATTTAAAAATTCGATGAAATGAGCATTCGACGTTTTGAAAATTCGATGAAATAAGCATTCGAAGTTTTGAAAATTCGATCTAATGAGCATTCGACGTTTTGAAAATTCGATGTAATAAGCATTCGGAGTTTTGAAAATTCGATGTAATAAGCATTCGAAGTTTTGAAAATTCGATCAAATCAACATTCGAAGTTTTGAAAATTCGATGAAATGAGCATTCGATGTTTTAAAAATTCGATGAACTGAGCATTCGACGTTTTGAAAATTCGATCAAATTAACATTCGATGATTTAAAAATTCGATGTAATGAGCATTCGAAGTTTTGAAAATTCGATGAAATGAGCATTCGAAGTTTTGAAAATTCGATAAAATTAACATTCGACGTTTTAAAAATTCGATCAAATTAACAATCGATGATTTAAAAATTCGATGAAATGAGCATTCGACGTTTTGAAAATTCGATGAAATAAGCATTCGAAGTTTTGAAAATTCGATCAATTTAACATTCGAAGTTTTAAAAATTCGATCTAATGAACATTCGAAGTTTTGAAAATTCGATGAAATGAGCATTCGACGTTTTGAAAATTCGATCAAATGAACATTCGAAGATTTGAAAATTCGATCAAATGAACATTCGAAGATTTGAAAATTCGATGAAATGAGCATTCGACGTTTTAAAAATTCGATGTAATGTGCATTCGAAGTTTTGAAAATTCGATCAATTTAACATTCGATGTTTTAAAAATTCGATCAATTTAACATTCGATGTTTTAAAAATTCGATCTAATGAACATTCGAAGTTTTGAAAATTCGATGTGTTGAGCAATCGACGTTTTGAAAATTCGATATATTGAGCATTCGATGTTTTGAAAATTCGATGTATTGAGCATTCGATGTTTTGAAATTCGATGTAATGGATATTCGATCGATTTGATTTTTGGGAGATTTCATACGACCGAATAATTTTCTAAAAAAAATTTCTTTTATTTACAATATATCTATATAGGGCATTTTTAACAAAAATTACCTATTTAATATAGTTTTACAAATTTTGTAACTTTAAACAAAACAAATAGACAAATCAATTTGCGTAATACATACGACATGACATTTTTTATTTTGGTAACACTGAATGGAGAGTTTCCTCCTCCTGTTCGTAGATATATAACCTCAACTTGTCTCTCAAATTTTTCTCTTTTAATTTATTTAACTTGAATCAAAATGGCTCGACGAGCTTTAAAAGCAATTAATTGGGCTGGAATGGCAGAGTTGATTCCAGAAAGTGAAAAAAATATGTTAGCCACCTTGAAATCCAAGACGGATCAGTATTTACGAAAGTATGTATGCTTATTTTCACACAGTTACATAATGGATATTAATCATTTTATAAATTTTCAATATCTTTAATAAAAGTAATAATTCCATTTAGTTCTTGAAAAAATTGCCAACTTTCTGTCTCCAGCTCGAAAATAATTCAATTTTATACAAAATTTGTTCCTCTGACAAATATTCAAATAATACTTATTGTAACACTATAATTTTAAAAAACGAATTCGTTTAAAAAAAGACTAATTTTTTGTTTATTGACAGGGTGAACGAATTTCCCGAATCAGCTCCAAAAATTGATTGGCCACAATATAAGAAAGTAATTTCTGTTCCTGGTATGGTTGATACGTTTCAAAAGCATTATGAATCGATGCAAGTACCTTTCCCCGCTGACAACTATACTAATCTTATAGAAGCCGAGGAAAAAGATATAGTAATTATTTATTATTCTCGTAGTTTTATAAAAAAAAATTGTAAAGTTTATCTGCATCATTATGTTAATAAAATCATTTGTTTGCAGACTGGTAGAATCGAAGATTTTAAAAGACAGTGTGATCAGTCCATAGCAAATTTCAAGGCAGAAATAGAAAGAATCAATAATACATTACCGGTCGAAGAAATGAATATGGAAGAATTAGTGGAAGCTTATCCTGATTTTAAACCAAATACTGTTGAGAAACCATCAATTTGGCCCCATTCTCCTGAATTCCAACCTGAAAATATTGCAAAAGAAAAAGTTGAATCAGCACATTAGATATTTTTTCATCAAGAGAGCAGTGTAGTCAGAATTATACAAAATCTTAAAATTCATCTCTTTCAGAGTAAATAAATATTTAATCAAAATTATTTCCATTACAATTTAGTTTATTCAATGAACAAAACAAAAAAAATAGATCTACCGCTGTCTATGTACTGTTTGAATAAATATATGATTATTGTTTACATTCTCTAGTTCTTAATTACCCAAACTTTTCAAAATATTTCATTTTTTCTTAATTTCATTTAAATATTCAATAATTGTTTTTCTACATTTTTTATTGTTATTATTTTCCAAACCAAAAATTGAAATGTTTATTATTTTGGCAGCGCTGTAAAAAACTTTTACCAACATACCTATAACAATTTTCGCAGTGCTCCTTCAATTTTTTAGTTTGACAGAAATATGGCGTTGCGTTCGTTAAATTCTGACAAGTAGTTTTGCTATATTTGTTTCTGCTTTTAATGAGTGTCTTCCTTAATTTCAAAAAAATTGTTTGAAATTAAGAATTGAAACAATAATGGATCGGAGTTTAGTGGAAAAATTTATAGAAGTTACAGGTATAATTGAAATTCTTGTGTTATAATTGACAGGGGAAAAAAAATTTTTGAGGTTATATTTTTCTCTGGACTTGTCAATAAAAAGAAACAAATAAATATCTTATTTCTTTGGCTGGGATAGAAATGTTTTTGTTTTTTCAGCTAATATTTTGTTTTATTAAAGTTTAAATAAATAATTTTAGGTGAAAGTGAAGCAATTGCAACGCAATACTTGGCATTGGCAGAGGGGAATGTTGATACTGCAATAACATTATTATTTGAGGGTGGTGGTCCAGCAGCCGCTCCTCCACCAGATCCTGAACCTGCTGTACGTCCACCAATATTACCAACACAAGAAGTTCTCGTTCCACCTGAAATTGGTTGTTCTTTTCCAAGAACGTCAAATAGCGTTTTTGACAGATTCCGCGATTTTAATGTAGAAACACGTAAGTTTTTATAGAAATCTAAAAAAGACGTTCGACTTTATATTTATGCAAATAAATATAATAACAACTTTTTAGTTGGGAGAAATTGTTATTTTAAATTTATAAATTTTGTTTTGTAGAAAGACAAGAAGAGGAAATGACACGTAAAGCGAGTGGAACGAGAAAAAATATGCAACGTAAAACAAGACGTTTAGAGGATTTATTTCGACCTCCTTGTGAAATATTATTTCTCGGCACTTTCTTGGAGGCTAGAGAATATGCAAAATCGATGAATCGCTGGTTACTTGTTAATGTACAAAATCCACAAGAATTCGCATGTCAAATATTAAATCGCGATGTTTGGCCTAACGCGCAAATTCGAGAAATGATCAAAGATCATTTTGTCCTCTGGCAGGTGGGAATATGATTTTTTAATTTTGTTGGTAAAATATTCACAGAATAATTCAATTCATAGAATAGGAAGAATAAAATTAATCTGAAAAAATTTGTTGAATTAGGTACTATCGAATACGTCCGAAGGAAAGCGTTACAATGATTTTTATAACGTCATGAGCTATCCATATTTAGGAGTGATTGATCCAAGAACTGGGGAATGTATGAGAATATATAATCAAGTTACTGTAGATAGTTTGACATCTGGATTAAATGATATGTTAAGTACTCATGCTTCACCTGAGTGTGCACCTCAAGAGCCATCAGTTTCTGATGAGTGGAAAAATTCTTCAGATTCGTCAATGAAGCGAAATTTGGTGTCTGATTCATCAGTCAGTGTGAGTAGTAATAAATTGAAAATATATTTAATAGAATAATAATTTAATGGAAGCTTAATCGATTATTCCTATTTTTATTGTAGAGTAATTCGTCTGGTGTGAAGAAGCTCAGAAAACTAGAAGGAAGAAGTTTAGGTCAGTCACAAACTTTTAATATGAAAAATTGAAATACAAATTTTTATTAAAAAATTTATTTAAATATAAATGTGGAATTTCAGGTATTATTGATGGTGAAGCTACTGTCGGTGTTAGTAGTACGAGTGTCTCGAATCACAGTCCTACTATTTTAAGCAAACGATCACGGATAGACGAACTGGATGCTAAAAGCAAATCAAGTTGTCTTGGAGCACAGAAAAAGGTTTCAATCTTAAATACTTTTTTATTATTTTGCAATAAGATTATTTATTTGATAAAAGTGACAATTCACATCGAACGTCTTTGCCAGTGATTATGACTGAACACTGATTTATTATTTATTAATTGTTAATTATTAATATTTATTTACTAGAGTAATATAATATTTTTAACAAAAAGGAAATATTTATAATCAATATTTTTTTAAATTAGGACGAAACATCCAGTAAGGAACAGGACGTTTCATGTAAATCTGAATCAGGTAAACAAATTCGTTTATTAAAAAAAGAGTAATTTTTTTTATTACTTTTGACGATGGTAATTTTTCTAAAGTAATATTAATTTTGTTAGTTATAGATAAAGATGCACCTTCTTTGAGACTTTGTTTACGGCTTCCAAATGGTTCCAAAGAGACAATTTCAATGAATTCCAGTGAAAGAATCGAGGTAAGTCAACAATTAATTTATTGTTTTAATAAAAATTTACCTAATTAAAATCTAAAAGCAAATTTTAATGAATTGGAAATATTCTGTTAAAAATAAGAATAAGAATTTTGTTTTAGAAAATAAAAAGTTGCAAACATCAAATAAATTATAAAAAATATTTCAGATTATTTATAAGCTAATTATATAAATTAATGATAATAATGTCTTTCTCATATTGCGCAGGATTTTTTGAAAAAAATGCAGGACATGGGTTACACAATGGTGGAATATACATTTTTAATACCATTCCCAAGGACTGTAATTGAAGACCTGTCTCTTGATTTACGTCTCGCGGATTCTATTTTATTTCCTTCAAACACAGTATTCATAAGTAAAATATAGTGAGATTTTTAAAGGCAGAAAAATTAATATCTTTTAGATAAGTTTATTTTGTAATTTTTAGAATTGAAATTTCTTTACTCTCGTTTTTTGTACTTTAAATTAATAAAATTGTACATTCTGTAATTATTATAATTTGCCGAAACATTAGGTTTAATTTTCTCGTTTCTAAATAATAACTAAACTATTAATTTCTAACTTTATACTTTATAGTTCAAAAATGAATTTCAGAATCAAAATAAATTAATTAATTAATTTCAATTATAGAAACGCTGATATTTTTTAGTTTGTAAACAAATTCTTTTTTCACATAGTGATAATAAAAAACGTATGAATTTAATTTATATTTGAATAAAATTTAAGGCATAATTATATATTTTAATATTTAATCTACTATAATTACAGTAATTTATGTTTGACTCTCTGCTTATGAATGTCAAATTCTCTTTATTGCATAATTATTATCATTATATAATTTTAACATTTAAGGTAAAATTTACTTCGTCTTATGTAAAAAAAAAAAATGTCAAGTAACAAGAAACAACGATTGAATGAAAATTTAAATTAGTAATAGGAAAGTAATAAAATAGGTTTAATAAAATTTATAGAAGGATTTATTTCACCTGAAAATGTACTCAGATATTGTAATTGTAATTTTATGTTAATAAATATTATAAAATATATAATTTAAAATTCTTTGTATTCTCTAAACTCTTGACAAATCGTTAAGTTCATTTTTTTGGTGTCTCTTTAGAAATTATTTACAAAAAATACATTTTTTTAAGTCAATTTCAATGAACGATAGGAATAAAAATAAATTTTCACATATAAAACTTGTAAAGTACTCTTTTTAAAAACTAGATAATAAAGTATTTAACTTTCGTTAAATCTTCTCAAAATATGCTCAATATGCGTGGCAAATTATTCGTCAGCATTAAAATAGGAAACATTCCTTATTATCATTTTTATAAAAAATGATGTTGCATCAAGCGTGTGTTAGTTGTTTGGTGCACTTTGCATGATAGATGTTTGTGCACGAAGGGCCATACCAGTGATATCCTCTACAATTTGAACCAAAAGGAAATTAAAAAAAATTGTTTTTATAAAAGCAAAGAATTTAAAATTATTTCAAAAATAAAAAATTCTAAATAAACCTAATTTTTTTAAAATGTACTGAAAAAATTCGAAATATATGCGCACAGGTAAAAAAGCAATGAGAATCTAAAATGTTTATTTTTTTAATTCAATAATAATTAAGTGGGAAAATGCAAAACTCATTTAATAAAAAAAATCTAATAATTCTTTAATATGTTAATTTATTAATTATTCCATATGGCAATTTTAAATAATCGTACATTATTATCAAACAAATGTATTGTATTCTGTGTAACATAATTATATTTACAAACGATAATATTCTTTTTTTCAAAATATTTCTATAATATTAGTAAATCTTTTAAGTAAATTTCTATCAAGTTCTCTAAATATCTTTGTATTTTTATTTCTTATTAAATGTTAATTAATTTATTTCATAGTATTTCTTATAACATCGTCAGATCTATTTATTATATTTATGATTCGATTATAAAAAAATAGTTATACAACAAAACGAATACACGTATAAAAAAAGATTCATTTACATAAAGTCTTATGTTGCAATTGCAATATTCATAACATAAATACTGATTAAGTTACACTGACAAATTATTAAAAAAAAAACGATAATTAAATTCAAAATCGAAAAATTTCTCCTTTTACTGAGTATTTTAAATAGATAAATCTATATTGACTCTTTTTTATATAAATACATATATATTTTTTTAATTATAATTTCTATGAATCAATGAAGTCTATTAACTCTAACGAAGAATATTCTATACTATGTTTTTTTGCAAAAAGTTTTAAATTGTGTTTTTTGTAAATTAACGAGTCAATTAAATATGTAATTAAAGACTAGTGGGACAAGACATTTCTTTATCACATAAACAAGCAAAAGCGAGATATTTTCTTCTCTATATAGCAAACGAGAAATAGTTAGTTTAAAAAACGAAAACTATTCTTTTTTAATTCTCTTCTTCATGATTAAATCATGTTTTCAATTATTTTATGTAAATTTAATCAAATAATTCTGGTTCCATACCAAGCTGTTCCAAAAAGAGTCCCATTGGGGTTCGTTTTAAACCGATGCTCTCTAATTTGTTGACGACTTTGTTTTTAATGTTTCGTAACCTCATGGATGCATGAATGAAGATCACTAAAAGGAATATTTTTTTATGATTATTCGCGATATTTGTCAACAATCTGTTAGATTATATTTCTATCAATTAACATTAAATAATAAATAAATAACAATAATAATAATAAATAATTAACATTAAATAGATACGCAATTATAATAATTTTTAATAATTATTACTTTTCTAATAATAATAAGTGATTCTTACCGCAGAAAGGCATCAAAATACCAGTTAGGAAGACAAGCAGAGAACCTAAGGTATAAGTAACAAAACATCCCCCTAAGAGAATTACAGCGATTCCAACCACTGGATATTGTTTTTTAAAGTTATGAATAGCTCTCCCTTCTACTGAAGTGTATATAAAAATGGAAACCATCACTGTCATTGCTAACATACCAACCAACATTCTCGCAGGATGAATTAATCTATACGTGAAAAAAAGTTATTAATATTTTCTTCCAAAAAATTCTAGGCGAATATAAAAATTAAAAAATTACTTTACAAAAATTGTTTACATATTTTTTCTCTAAAACCTACATTAAAAAAGACTTTAGTTTAATTTAAAAGTATTTTTCGAATACAAAATGTAGGTGCGAAAATGAATCATCATTGATAGTAATTGCCAATTTACCAAATAGTCATTTACTTTTAATCCTTTTAATGATAATACAGTTAATTAAACTTGAATGTCAACAGTTCTCAAGTAACTAAAAAAACCATTGAAATTTTTTTAAATATTTGAAATATATTTTTTTTTACTATTTTTTATACAAGAATAAATATTTGTTGACATTACGTCAAAAACAATAGCATGACTAATATTTACATAAATTATCTAAAACTGTTTTGAAAATTAATTATTTAATTTACCAAAGAAAATACCAACACTACTCTGAATTTATTTGTATATTGCATAAAAATAAAAGCATATTTGCAATATTTCATTAAGCTCTTGCAAATTCATATTAATTAATTCATATTATGAATTATAAAATAATTTAAAAGTTACAAAAGAATCGTAAATTGAATTATAAAATAATTGTAATATGAAAAGTTATAAAATAGCTGCGACAAAATTGTAAAAGAAACAATGTTCAGCAGAAAGCGTTGATTGTTGACGAAACACTTACCCAACAATGAGAAAAATGATGATCGATAGAAAGAAGTAATTGGTTTGATAATAAAGAAGATTATTAACAACTCGATTGCCCCATTTGTCAAGGTCTTTAATGTTTGGAATTTGAAAACGTGCAGCTTCTAAAATAAATTCATCCAAACTACGAAGTGGTGGTAATTTTAATTCACCATTCGAGCTATCCTTTAGTTTATCCATATTCGTAATTTAAATTCATACACTGTCAACAAAAAAAGAAACGCACTCTTCTTTTTACAATCGTTATTTTTGGACTATGACACGCAATGTTGTAATCAGCTGCCTGTAATATTTTAATCATTTAATTCTTCCAAAATATTTAACTACTACATTTTAGTTATTTTCTACAATATAGATTATTCCCTTTTTAGAAATCATACTCAGCAAATAATACTCACAGAATTGTCAATAGCTCCTTTGTTCTTTTCTTTTTTAACAAAATATTTTTACCGCAAGCCGCAAGTTTTTTTTAGCATTTGACATTTAATGCGCATGCGGATTGAGCTTAGACAGCGCTCCTTGAGGGAAATTAAGAAAGTTACGAAAGTGACGTTCACGTTATTGTTTAGTAATTTAACAGTGTATTAAATTTTTTTCCTTTTAAAAATGCCGTTGGAAAATCTTGAAGAGGAGGGTTTGGAGAAGAATCCAAATTTGGAATTAGCGCAAATTAAATTTTTGTTAAGTTTACCGGAACATAAGAATGACACAACTTTGAAAACTAAACTCCTCGATGCCATCAAAGCCGACAGTGAGATTGCATTTTTTCTCTAATAGTTTATAATATTTGGTTTTTCGATCTATTTTCCTTGAATTATAGTTGGGGAGAATTTTATTTGAATCTATTTTGTTAAATTTTTTCATAAAAGGGAGAAATTGATAAATGTACAGAGGTTATGACAGTGGTGAATTTTGAGGTTAGGTTAATTATTTGATTATACTCTGAAGGTTCGAAAAATGGGAAAAGTGTATAAAAGTGTCTATTTATTTGACTTTTCTTTTGACAATCTATTTTTTATTGCAGATATGGCTCCCTTTTACGAAGACGTATGTAGGGATTTAAATTGGCCTGTCGATGAGGTTTTATTAACGAAAATGAAAACTCGGAATGAGGAGCAATTAAAAGAGCTCGACGGTGTGATTGATGATGCGGAAAAGAATTTAGGTGAAATGGAAGTTCGCGAGGCGAATCTAAAGAAATCGGAGCATTTGTGTCGAATCGGCGACAAGGACGGTGCAATATCTGCCTTTAGAAAAACCTACGACAAAACTGTTTCTTTAGGTCATAGATTGGACATTGTTTTCCATAACATAAGAATTGGACTTTTTTATCTGGACCATGATCACATTACAAGGAATATCGAAAAGGCCGAGAGGTAATCTCAATTCTATTTCAATTAATTAATTCATTCTATTTCCAGAGGTATAATGTTGAATTTTCGGTAATTTCAGTTTGATCGAAGAAGGCGGCGATTGGGACAGAAGAAATAGACTAAAAGTATATCAAGGAACTTATTGCATTGCTGTTCGGGATTTTAAACAAGCGGCGAATTTCTTCCTGGATACAATTAGCACTTTCACCAGTTACGAACTCATGGATTATAACACTTTCGTAAGATACACCGTTTACATGAGTATGATAAGTTTACCGCGTAACGAATTGCGAGACAAAATTATCAAGGGCTCTGAAATTCTCGAGGTCCTTCACAGTAATCCCGACGTTAAAGAATATCTTTTCTCGCTCTACAATTGTCATTATGCCGATTTCTTCAAAAATCTCGGTAAGTTTTATCGAAAAATATAAATTTTATAACTGAACTAAATTAAATAATTTGTTGGACTAATTTAGAAAATTTACTCTCAACAGCTCACGTGGAAAGTTTATTACGAAGAGATTATTTAGTATTCCCACATTATCGCTATTATGTCAGGGAAATGCGAATTCTTGCCTACACGCAACTTTTGGAATCGTACAGATCATTGACTCTGCAATACATGTCTGACGCTTTTGGTGTTAAGATCGAATACGTTGATCAGTAAGTAAAATAGTTCTGTTACACGAAAACAAATTGAATTTTAAAGCAATTATAAATGATTTTCAAAAGTAGTAAAATTCTTCTCAAAAAATGAATTATTTTCAAAAATATTAATAAAATTCTTGGCAAAATTTAAATAATTTTCAAAAACTTTTCTCAATTCAATGATTTTTAATATCTACTAATACTTTTATAAAAATTTCTAAAAGAATTCAATTAGTTAAAAAAAAATTTAATAAAATTCTATGCAAACATTTCATTATTTTCATAGATAATAAAAATTTCACAGGAATTCAATTATTTACAAAACTCGGAATGAAATTTTTTGCAGAATTTCAATTATCTTGAATACAATGTTAATTAAATTTCTCGAAAAATGAAATTATTCTTAAAATTTGTATTAAAATTTGTCAAGAGACTTAAAATTATTTAAAATTTTGTTGGTAAAATTCTTTATGAAAATTCAATTTTAAGAAACATTTAATTGTTTAATAAAATATTTATTTTTATAGTCAAATAATTGAATTCTCGTAGAATTTTCTAATAAATATTGATTTAAAAAAGAATTTTAAATTAAAATCTTTGTAAATCTAATTTTTTTTTATTTTTAACTAAAAATTCTGTGGAATTAATTTTTTTCAAAAAGTTTAATTAAATTTTTTTATGAAATTATTTCAAGTTTTTATTTTGTAAATATAAATATTAAATATAAATATTTCCCGAATAATTGAAATAAAAAAAATTTAATTTTGGATAAATTACAAATTCTTGGCAGAATTTCAATTATTTTTGATACAATTTTCATCAAATTTGTCAAAAAATGCAATTATTCTTAAAAATTGTATTAAAATTTGTCAAGAGAATTAAAATTATTTAAAATTTTGTTGGTAAAATTCTTTATGAAAATTCATTTTTAAGAAACATTTAATTGTTTAATAAAATATTTATTTTTATAGTCAAATAATTGAATTCTCGTAGAATTTTCTAATAAATTATTGATTTAAAAAAGACTTTCAAATTAAAATCTTTGAAAATTTGAACTTTTCATACTTTTAATTAAGAATTCTATAGAAATAATTTTTCTCAATAAGTTTAATGGAATTTTTTTTAATTATTTGACGTTTTTAATTTCTAATATATTTTATTGAATAATGCCAGAATAATCGAAATTGCGTAAAATTTAATTGTAAACAAAAGAATTTGAAAATTCACAAAGAACTTTTTCAAAAATTATTAAAAAAAAAAATTGAAGAATTTTAGTTGGAAATTCTAGAAATGAATAATCGTAATGATGAAAATAATTTTTGAAGAAGTTACAGTAACAAAGTAGCAAATTTTAATTATTATAAAATATGAAAAAAGCGATATCTTCATGTTTTATAATAATATTTTTATGTTATTGAATTTCAAATTTTTGATTATCTTAATTTCTATAAAAAGAATAATGATTGAATATTTATTTAAAAATGAAGTTATTGATGTTATAATTGTCGTTTTAAAAATCTGGAAAACCTGGAAAAGTCAGGGAATTTGAAAAGAGCAAAAGCGTGGCAACCCTGTATTTTAATAATTACTATCGAAAAATATTAAAACTGAAATTTTTTTTCCAGGGAACTTTCACGTTTTATTGCAGCGGGCCGGCTGCATTGTAAGGTCGATCGCGTCGGTGGAATTGTGGAAACGAACAGACCTGACAGTAAAAATTGGCAGTACCAGGCAATGGTGAAGCAGGGCGATTTGTTACTTAACAGAGTTCAAAAATTATCTCGCGTCATCAATATTTGAGTGTTGAAAAAAGTTTGTAACTTTAAATTATAATTAATATCAAGACTAACACATGTAGCCTCCATTTTTTTCTTCTTCTTCTTCTTTTTACATGTGTCTAGAATAATGTATAATGTAATATTAATAGAATTTTTAATGAAAACGAAATATATTAATTGTAATAATATTTTTTCTTCCAGATAATTTTTTTTGCCATCAAATTTCTTTTTAGAAAACAAAAAAATGAGAGAGAGAAAAAAGAGAGAGGTTTGAAAATACGTATTCCAGGAAAATTATTTTATCGATGATAAACCTTTATTAACATAATGTTGAACAGTTTCATCACTGCATGGATGTTTAAGAGATTGTTATCGTTAAAATGATTCACACGTTTGTTTAGGGGGTTGGGTTACATGGACTTTTTTTCATCTTAATATAATTAAGTCCAAGATGATTTTTGGGACTATTCGCGTATTTTTTTTATTCACGTACAAACAATTTACTTTTTTTTTTCTTTAAGTGACATTCATGAGCAAACCAGTCGATTATCTTTATACAGTTTTAAAAATATACATACACATTATTCGTACAGCATAAAAATTAATTTCTACTTAATACACGCTAGATATTTTCTTATAAGGGGTGTGTGTGAGGGGCGCAAAAGTGATTTTCTTTTAACGCTCAAATATTTATAGAAGATGAAAGTCTAATTAAATTTCTAATTTTTGGGGTAAGGACCATCAGTTGTTTTTTTTAAAATAGTAAAATAAATTCTCAGGCATTTATAATATAGCATTATTAATGATAAGAATTAGCAATATAGTTTTTAAAGCTGGACATATAAAAATTTTCATCAAAAATTGATAATGAATTTAAATGAATATATAAAATGAGATTTATGACTCTCCGTATTTCACAATATACTACAATTAAACTACTTACATTTTATGCGTTAGCATTTCTTTAAAAAAAGGATAATACAATTTTTCTAGTTTTTAATCTTTTTTAAACATTGCAAATTTACGTTTACAATGCAAGAATACTGTAAATTAAAAGTTGACTTTAAAATTATACTTTGAATATAAATTTTAAATAATATTTTATTTCTTTATTATCTAGTAAATTTTCAAGTAGGAAGAAACTTTTTATCAATTCTTGCTTTGTAGACGATTTTTAATTTTCTCTAAGAAAAGATTTCCTTATTTACTAAATGGGCAATAGTTTGCTCAATAATTTTTTTTATATAGTACTCTTCAGAAAAAATGTTTCATCGTCCAAGAAAAACTGTAGTTAAGGTTTGCGAAAATTTTGTTTCGGAGTGTGAAAAATATTTTAAGCTCTGTTTTCTTTTTAGTTTTTAGTTAATTCTTACCTCTTTGACTATCATCAATCTTATGTATTTGAAGTTTACGAGTTCAATCACATTTATATTATATAACATAGTAATTATCACAAAACAGCAGATTGTGGAAATTATAATTTAAGAAATTGTTTAAACGAATTCGCGATAATCAATATTTTATTTTTTTGTAGGAATAATTTTTGTTTAGCAACTAACAAGTTGGGGCCAAGCTGGTTCAAGTGACTTTCTAGTAAAATTCCGTTTCAATTAATTTCTAATATTAATAATAATAATAAAAAACAAAATAATAATTTAATATTGAATAGAAGCTAAAAAATATGTTTTCTAAATGATTTGAAATTATAATCGAGAATAAGAGTCATTATTTGGAGACCATTGATCCCAAGATTGTTCCAAGTTGGTCCCACCTGATTTTTTTTTAAAGAGAGAATTTTTTTTTCTGAAAAAATTAGATAATAGAAATACTCCAGTGAAAATGAACTCGATTATGTAAAATGATCAGATTTTAATCCTTCGAATGTTTTAAATTTTAAAGAGGAATTCCAATATTACGTGAAAGTTTGTAAAATATTGAAACGAGTTTTTTTATTATTCAGACAAATTTAAGTATTCTAAAATTTCTTTTCGAATATTCCGGATTAAATTAAAATTATCTAATTTCCAATTAGAATGTCCCACAATTATTGATTACTTCAGAATGTCTAATTAAACACTTATCCCGCATAGTTGTGGAAAACATTTTCAGAACAAAATTTCGAATTTCACGTTCGTTCAAAGTAATCCGTTTTTTTTTTGGTAACATTTTGAAAAAATCGTTCGAGATTAAAAAAAATTTACGTTTCACTGGTCCCGTCCATTTTTAATTTTTATCAAGTTTTTGTCAAACCATTTTGTTAGCGATTTTTTCTCGAAAAAAAAGAAGAAAAGATTTCTCCTTCTCTCGCTACTTTACAGTATTATCAAAAAAATGTTCAATCGATTTTTTCAAAATATTTTTTTGTAGACACAAATCGATGTGAAAAAAAAATAACAACGAAAAGAAAATATTTTGCAATTAAAGAAAAATGTTTCAAAACTCTATTATATTTATCTATTTTTTCGTAATTAACGATAAATTCTCGTAAATCTAGATTCCACATTTAGTTGATTAAATTTAGATTGTTAATTAGTAAAACAATCGAGCAATATATTTTGGAATATTAGAGACGTGGAAGGTCATCATCACCAATTCATTAAAAGCTACATCGATGAATACTCAACATTGATGACATTTATATTTTCTTTATTTTTATTCTTATGATTTTTATTATTTTTTTTTTGTGGTGTCGGAATGGAGTTTGAAAAACATCTAGGAGTTATCAATTTTATTAGTTCACTTCTCGAGGCCGATAGAACGAAAGAAACATCTATGTATATTTTATTATAGACATCAGTTACTATTTTATATCAACGACTTCATCTATACCCTGTGCAACTTCTTAATATTTCGACACAATCTTATAATTATTATTTCAATTTTAATATTACTCGTGTATAATATCTTCTTATTCCTTAATATTTATACTTTTTTTTTAATATATATATATTATATATATAATATCTATATATATTTATATTTATATGTATTTATATTTTTTTATGTATAATGCTGTTTGCAATCGTATTACAGCGTTAATATTTTCGCGAAGAAGGAGTTGTTTGATCATGCCATGCATTAATCATCGAGTATAGCGACATTTAAAATGTAAAACTTAATAGAATATTAACTATAAAAGTTTACTTAAGCAGTTTTCTTTCTTTCTTTCTTTCTTTCTTTCCACTTTTTTTCATTTCTTTTTAACTAACCGTATAATAACGATAAATAATAATAACGACCATTGTCCGAGGACGGTAACGATGAGGATAAAAAGCGATGACGATAATGATTTTTATCCGTAACAATTTGTGATATATGATGACAATGAGAGTGACAACAATATAACGTGTTTTTTCATTTACCTATATATGTATAATTACAAAAACTGCTACGCGTGAATAAATTTTTTTTATGGCTTATTTTACATTTTTCTTTTGCTGAAAATTATCACTCAAATTTCACATTCAATGGAAAAAAAACACTCACATACTCCTTCAACATTCGGACATAGGCATTTGCGCCTAAGTTTTTCTAAATTTATTAATTACATTAAATTTTTATTTTCTTTTATCTAACTCGAGACGTTATTGCACGTGTAATTGGTGAGTGGAGCGTTCAGTACACGCCACGTTATTTTTTTCGATCGGTTAGATATTCAAATTTTCAAATTTTTTTCTTCAATTTTATTGGACTCTTGCGAATTTTTTGCGGACTCTACTTTTTCACCAGTTTTTTTATTAATTTTTTGATTCCAATTGGTCAATATAATACTGGTCTACGAGTTAATAATAAAAAAAATTCAAAATGCAAGTGAGTATTGAATATTTTTTTTTTTTTTTTTGATGCTGCTCGTTACAATATTTTTTTTCTATGAAAATGTCAATATATTACTAAAAACGAAAGGTAACTTATAAATATCAGCTAAGTACATGATTGTGAATAATGAATGATTCTTTTAAAAACATATGTGCAAGATTTAATAAAAACAATTGTTTTACAAATCCCAGTTTAATTTACGGCCACTTTTTTAAAATGATGGCACTCGGAATCTGTCGGTAACATTATTATAGAATTTTTCTGTTTTTAATACTTAATATTGTACTGAAGAAAAAACATGATAAATTATTTTTTTTTATCTATTTTGACAATTTTCACACAATATTGAAATTATTGTTGAAAAATGTACAACGTTGTTACTATCATATATTTTCTTTTTTACTGGTATTTTAATTATTATGTAATTGCCCTTAGTTTGAACGAAATTATTAATTCTCGTAAAATTAATGATAACATTAACTATAAGAAAAATTGAATTGTTAGCACGCAAAAATTGTCTATTAATGTACACTGGATTTTTTTCACAGTTCTTTTTTTTCCTAATAACATTTTGCAACACGTATTTTCGTTGAACGGTGTTTTTAGAGTCCGCTTTCTTAATTCTAAATTAAGATATTTTTTCTATTTTTAAATATCTTGGATAACTTTACGATTTTTTTTCTCTTTTAAACAGATTTTCTGTTTTGAGATATACAAGTATCAATGAAAGTCTGATTTTTTCAGTTCTCATTTTTTATATAGAGTTCAAAACCGATCGTTTTTTTTATCATGCATTGTAACATTCACAGCGTGATACATCGCGCTTTAAAGAGCACCGTAAGTTCGAAACTGCATTATTTACAGTTTGTCGACTAGTTAGAAAAAACAATTACGTTTAGGTAAATTTAATATATCAACAGACTTAAATTACATCGCGAGGTTGTATTGCCGCCTAAACGCCGCATTGAAAAACGAAAAAAGAAAATTACAGAAAGTCAAAATAAAATTTTTTTTTCTTTTAATCTATAAATTACGATAAAAGCTAAGCATTTTCCGCAAAGAATTTTTATTTTATTAAAATTGAATTCACTTTCCCTTTTTTCAAGAAAAGACTCTCTGAAAGAATTTTCTTCATTCTCGGGAGAAATAAACAAAAATAAAATGACAATTTGTTAAAAGCGACAAGATTTCTCTAAAGTTGCACATGACAGGGTACAATGATTATTCCATTGTAATTTACAATTTACGCAAACCACCTGAATTTGACATATCTAACATGTGTACCAAAAATCATTAATCAGATGATTCAATCACAATATCAGTCATTAATAAAAATTGAAGTTACAACTTCAGAATTAACAAAAATAAAGAAAAAATTTTTTGCAGAAAATGTTTAGCTGAATTTGAAAAAAAACAATTTTTTCCCCTTTTTTTCTGTATTCTATTGAACGAAGTCGCAAATTCAATGCGATTAAAGACCAATTAGACCTCGATTTGTGAACGCATGGGTTGATTTTGGCAGTGGAGTTTCCGGGAAGACGCAATCTTTTTTTATTTCAATTAAAATTTTATTTTTAGCGCAAGATAACTCCAAATAATAAGATTAACTGTCGAAACATATATATATCTAGTACAATATAATCATAATTTTAACAAAATATTGATTTACTTTTTTTTTTTTTGCATAATAATTTGTTATATTTTACCAAGTTCATATAATTATAACTACATTAATAAAAAATTTAATAATAACAATAGAACAAGCAGCATCTTGTGGCACGTTTCACAAAATTTTCGAGCACAAAATTACTATATTTTTTCTTCAAATTGTAAAATTTTAGTTACAAACAATTCTTACGATAACTAATTAGCAAAAAATTAAGCTTCCATTAGTAACCAAATAAATCAATTTATAAAGACAAAACAATTGTTAATAATAATAATAATAATAATTATTATAATAATTATAATCTTTCATAAACTATTAAAAACATAGATTAAAATTTTCTTTTAAATATCGCAGTGGATTTTTAATATAAAATTAATATCACGGTTTCTTTCAACAAAATAAAATTGTTAATAAGTGAAATTAATTTGCGTCCATTTCTTTTTTTCTCCCAAACAGAAAAAAAAATTACGAAACACAAATATGAATATGCCGATTAATAACAGCCCATACGTTCTTATTACTGCCTTGGATATTGAATTTTATGTCTTTATTGGTTTAAATTTTACTAGCGATGAAATAAATGATATTTCGTTGCCTATTTTTTTCAAGTAATCAAAAATTGTTTTCCACATTTTCGATTTTTTACACTAAAAAAAAATTATAATAAAAAAAATGATTCAATTGGAAGAAACTCTTAAACCGAAGGCGGCATTAATTTAAAATTAAAATTCTTCACATTTCAAGTCTCAGAAATATTTCGATTTTGTTTTATTTGTTTACTTACTAGTTACAAATTATTTTCGTTATAAAGATTTTTAAGGAACATTTCGTTTACTTCAAGGGATATTTCAGTTTTCTGGTATTTTTTTGTTGAAATTTTCTTTAAATTCTTTTTTTAATTAGATGAAGTCGAAGGAAATTGAATGAAATTTCACAGAATTGAAATTAAATTATACAGATTTGAAATTAAATGAAATTTAATTTAACTTAATTAGAAGATAATTGAATTAAATTTAATCCAATTCTTCATGTTCAATTACAATTTTCCTTCAAATCAAAATTTAAAAAAATTGCATTGATGGCAATTATTTTTGAAAAATTTAACTGTTCGTCACTATTTTATGAACATTTTTCTTCAAACGAAAAATTTCAAGCAAAATTTCTAGTATTTATTTGAAATTTTTCTTAAAATTATTTTTTTAATTATTTGAAATCAAATGAAATTAAACAAAATTGAAACTAAATTGCACAGATTCGAAATTAAATTAAATCTAATTTAATTTAATGAGAAAATGGAATTAAATTTAATCTTATTCTTCTTTCTTTTTAATTACAATTTTCCTTCAACTCAAAATTAAAAAAAAAATTCTTTTATGCAAATTATGTTTAAAAAACTTAACTGTTCATAACTAAAATTTTATAAACATGTTTCTTCAAACAAGAAAATTTCAAGCAAAATAAAAATTTGGCAAAAAATTCAATTTCGAACCTTTTTAAAATATTTTTGTTCTTCACAATTTTTTCCCCTCTAAGCAAAAAAGCATTTTGAATTTTTGTAAACATATTTCTTCAAATAAAATATTTTACACAGAATAAAAATTTTGCATAAAAAATTTCTAATTTAAACCTTTGTAAAATATTTAGTTTTTCAACATTTTTTCCCTTCTCGGTGAAAAAGCATTTTTAGTTTTTTAATTCCTTGACTATTGAAACTTGTACTCAAAAAATATAATTACAAATTCCTGAAAGATTAAAAAAAAATATTACTCAAAAGATTCTATAAATTGCATGAAAATATTCCTTTTAAAAGAATGCCATAGAATAATCCATGTCGAATGAATTAACATCAATTAAATAAAGAAAATACGAAATAAGCGAATCAGAAAGAAAAATCATAACACAAAAAAGAAAGTTAATAATTTCCCCAAAGCAAATGATTTGAAGAGACTTGAAATCTGAGAACGAAGCCTTAGACCTGACGACCTATCTATAAATTTGAAATAGATTTCTATTCAACGAAATACAGATAAACTGTTTATTTTCTTCGAATTTGATCGAATATATTGCAACTTTCGAAACTACTGAAAATTCGAAATATATATTTGCATAAATATATGCATAATATTACACACTTATATTGTAAATGAGACACAAAAAAATGTACTTCAGCGGCGTTTTTCTAGCTCAAGTGTTTTTCTTTTCTTTTCCTCATTTTTCTATTCACAAGTTATGCGCACCACCATTTTTTTTTGTTTATTTCTACCACGTCCAGAGCGAAAGACGCAGTTTTAATAGTTCAACGTGTAAAAATACGTAGAAAAAGATTACTTCCATGGAATAGAAATTTTGGTTTTTGTTTTGTTATTTTTTTTCTTTAAACTGATTATCATACACCGTCATAACTAAGGTCAACAGGTGGTCTATGATGTGATGGAAGGTAAGAAGGTGGCGTTGAACTTCCAGGACCGGGTGTACCGGGAGCCGCGTAACTTGCATAATTTGCGCTTGGTGCATGAATTCCCGCTGGAGGAGTTGGATAAGCATCAAATGAACTTGAGTACGAACCATTGTACGAATAAGGATTTGACATGTGTCCGAGGGAGGGATGCATACCACCCATTCCGCTCATTCCACTCATTCCACCCATCCCGTAAGTACGTTGCATGAGACTAGATTCCAATCCACTGAAAAGATAGCTATTGGGCGAGCCCATTGGTACTGGGTAATGAGGGCTTGGTATGATGTTGGGATACGAATTGCCCGGATGATTCGCACTTGGTGTGTAATTACTCGATGCGAGATTTTCCACAGTGTATGATTTGCTGTGCTGTTGTTGTTGATGCTGCTGCTGTTGTTGTTGGGGATCGCGCCCGTTCATTCCGTAGAGAGAACCGTAGTTCTCTGGAGAGTGGTGGAGAGGACTAGGATATACGTTACCAGATGGTTGTAGAGGTGGACTGTAATTCGACATGTTGCCATTGACGTAATTTGAGAGATAGGATTGATGTTGGGGGTCCATTTTGTCGGCGAGCGATTCGTCGGGCATGCCTGGGTGGCCGTGCTGGAGTCGCTGACCACCGCCACCGTCGGTTATGCTGGGAATTTGATCAACGAGAGATTCGAGATCGCTGAGACTCTTTGAGGCGACGTCCTGATTGCCGTTCCTCTTCATGGTGTATTGCTCGTGGGGATGGTGTGGCGACATGGAAGAGTGAGTCGGTGTGTGGGGGTGATTGTGCGGTGGCGTTGGATGGGAGTGATGGGAGTGCTCGTCTCCGGTTTGACTCAAAGGCGTTGGGGTTGTTTGGTGGGGATGTGGATTGTGTGAGTCTGGCGTTTGGTCGTGATAGCTCATGTAACTCGTGTAGCTTGAGTGCGACGGGGTTCCGGGACTGCTGTGATGACCACTGTCGCCGTTCACCGCTGGATTGTAGGAGCCTGGTCCATTGCTCATATTCTGCTGGGAAATACTGCTCGGTGGTTCGAAGTCCGGGTGCTCGACACTTGGCGATGTCAGTGGCGATGGCTCGAGATTGTTTTCGGATGATATGGCTGTATTTATTTCCGACGATAGATCCGAATGGGTGAATGAGAGGGACATTGATTTTGGACTTTGGCTGTAGTGTTGTAAATGGACGGGACTGTGCTTTGAATTCATGCCGTAGGGACTGTCGTTCATTCCCTGACCGAAGTAGCTGGGTTCGTTCATACTTTGAGAGTATGGCGCCATGTGAGCAAATGGCTTCGGCGGTGACATGAGAGGCGGCGAGAAACAGTTTGATATCGCGTTTCCGTAACCATCGTTTAGGTGTGACATCACCTGGTGCTGTTGGTGATGATGGTGATGGTGGTGCTCTCTCTCTTTGGCTTCTAATTCCTGTTGTTTTTGCTGCTGGTGTATCTTCTTCGGTCGACCGCGTCGCTTTTTTATCACTTCACCATTGGGATCGTTTTTTTCACAATCGGGTTGTGGTTGTTCCTCGGGATTTTTTATCTTCTTTGGTCTACCGCGCTTCTTTTTGCCTGGAATCAATCCAGAGTCGTGTTTCATCATTGAACTATTCAAGTCTGTGATTCTATTTTCACCATCAGCTGCTAAATCATCGGTGAACATTGCTTTCTTTTCGTCCACTCCTTCGACATCCTTTTTCTTTAGTTTCGAATCGGCGAATACAATGTCTGACTCATCGAGGTGTGTAATCGCTCCATTCAAGTAGTCGCGAAACTTCTTCAGAGCAGCGTAATATGGAACTTTATCGGCGGCCCTTGGTAATTGGGCACATCTTGCGCTGCTTGAGGGCATGACCCACATGTACTGTAAAAAATAATTTTTATTTAGAATATTTTCATAATTCAATGGAAAAAAATAAATAATGATAATAATACAAAAAATAGTCTTACGGTGTTTGTTCCATCCACGAGACTAGGTTGTCTTCCAAATCCAAATTCCTTTTTGCCGGAGAAGACTTCGTAAATAAGTTTGCCATTAAACACGGCAATCTTAGGCTTGTACTTTCGTAACTTTTCTAGTAAAATGTGACTTCCTGGAAATAAAAACAAGCACTTGATAAGAGTAATGTTCATTTATCAAAAGTTTTTGTAGCTTTCGTAACTACTAACCTTCTTTTATTTCTTTTCTCGTGAGGTCTGCACTGCCTTTTGTAGCACGTGCTACCATATTTGTGAAGCCAATGCCAAGACGTAGAAGTTTGTAATCATCGTCCGCCGTTAGAGGTTCAGGAGTTAAACCACTTAAATGTAGACATTTCCCTAAAAGCACAAATTTCAAACTATTACCAACTTTTTGCATCGAAGCATTAGCATATTTCGTTTACCTTTTAAAATCCAATTCTCAAAAAAAGAAATGAAAAGAATCTTTTGTCACTACTGGAAAATAAATTGTATTTTCTTTTTCTCTGTGTCACATTTTCCATTCTCCTTCTTTCTTTTTTTACGCAACCATTTGGCAGTTTGAGGTCGCTTATTGAATTGAAACTGTCGCAAGGATCTCGCGAGCGTTTAGGAGAGATAGCGAGATTTATGACGCAACTGAAACTCGCTCGGGCGAGCGACCTACTGCGAACCTTCGACCTTGGAGAACTTTGGAACAAAGTTAAACGATGGAGAGCGTACGCTTTCCGCGTTTACCCCTTGAAAAAGGAAAGGAGAGAGAGAGAGAGAGCGAGAGAGAAAAGGGGGGAGGGGATAAGAAGATGAACGGCCGATCGAACAAAGTTTATCGAAGCTAACGCGACCCTCCGACGACGCTAACCTAAGCTAACTTTCTTTTCCCAATGCGTTCAAGTTTCAGACTTTATTCAACCACTTTCATTTCATAGAAATAGTTTTGACTTTCGCCCAAATATAATCACAAGACATTCCATGCTTTTCAAAATAAAATTCTACATTTAAAAAAATACAATTTTAATTCAATTATGTATTTTCAAATTCAAATCAATAATTTTTCCACTAAAGTAAGAAAAAGTTCTGAAAAGTAAGAAAAAGTGTGGAAAATTGTCAGTGAGAAAAAAATCGATTGAGTGTTGAAAAATATTCCCAATGTCAGTGTGAAAAAAAAGTATTGATTGATTTTTCGAAAAAATATAAGCATAGGGTAGAAGTCATTATACAATTATAATATCGATAGTGTGAGAATGTATCAGCTGTTGCTGATAATAATTTCTCGAATGCATAATGTACACATGGAATATGTACAATAATTATTCCCCTCTCGATAGAATCGCATTTGAAAAACACCGATGATACCATCGGTAAAAGCCAGTTGAATTTGTCTTCTGAATACGAAAAATCTATTTGTATCTGACAGAATGTAATTGATAAATATAAGAAATTAGCATTTTATATAACAAGCTGTTTGTGAGGTGTTGTACCTTTCGGAAAAGGATATTAAAAGACGATAATTTCCGTTACAAGCAAGGACACGAGAGATATTTCATGTAAATAAATAAATATCCTTGTGTCCATATGGTGATTTAGACGTGAGGTCAAAATCGATGGAACCTGTCGTGGTGTGTATGGGATGGAAAGTAGAATACCGCGCCTGGAAAATCAATTTCCATCCATCTCGGTGATCTCGGTGGTGGCAGTGGGAGTGGAACGTGATAGGACCCAAAGACCTGGTCCCGTTTTGCTGTCGGACTGGAGGAGAGAACATTGCTATGTTGAACCCCATGACCGGGGTCGAACCACCAGATACGGCACGAAATGCCAGGGGTAGTGAACGTGCACGGACTGTAAGCTGCTATCGAGCGAATAGGCGTGCGACAACCCCCTTCAACGCCCTTCCCTTCAGCACCCCGTTTCTGTGTTACCTAGCTCCCTTTTTAGCCCCCCTCCACCCACTGCCTCCGGCCATCCAACCACCCACCTCTCTTCCGCCCCATGGAACGAGGGTAGCTGCCTGCCTGCTGGTAGTAGAGAGAAAGGGCGACGGTGGAGTGAAGGGAGGCCAGCTACACGTTTTCCCACACTCGCTCCTCGACCAACCACCCACCCACCCACTTCCCGACGTCTCACCCTTGTAGCCGCCACTCATTATAGTTACCATCGCTTCTCTTCTCCAACCCCCCATTGCTTTCACCTTTTCCTTTCTACCCATCTCTCCTCTCCCTGTATTTTCCTTTTCTTCCCTTCTATTTTCTTCAACGTTTCCTTTTCCTTTCGCACCTACTTGCAGAGAATCCCGATATCAAAGAAATAAAACATGTGCATCAAATAATTTCAAGTTAAATACTAAAATACAATCCTTTCCCTATGAGGAAATAATTTAATTTAATTAAATAAATTCAGTTTGGAATTCAAGTTTTTTTATTTTTGTATAAACAATAGTTTACAAGCAAGTATCAGAAAAAATATTGATTCAATAATAATGAGAATATAAGTGTTATATAAAATAGAGGAAGGTGGCGGAGAGAAAGACAAAGAAGAACGCCTTAAATAAACATTTGCTAACAGTGAGAGTTACTGCTTAAACTTTCAAGTACTTTGGAAACACGCTCTAAAAACTATGTTAACTCGAGTTCAATTTTTTTTTCAAGAGTAAATTTAAATTGAAAAGTTTTCATCGTCAGTTTATATCTTTTTTCTTGGAGAAAAAATTTTTTTTCTCAAATTTTCAAACACTTTTGCTTTCTTGTTTATTTATTTTTTTTACAAGGCACATGGATACAAGGCACATGGATTTTTTTTTTTAACTATTTCAAGAAAATAATTCAAATATTCGATAAGATTATATTTATGGGCAATTCAATGCATATGAAAAAAAAGAAGACGAAAAATATTTTGATCCTTTTTGAATTTTTTTTCTTAAAAATTCCTAGATTTATGAAATTTATGTGTAATTTTGTAGAAAATATGTTTTTGAATCTACAAAAAAATTAACGAATGAAGAATTTGATTTGTACAATTTTTTTGAAAAAAACTTTGTTTTTAGGCTAAAAATGCTAAAAAATACAATTGTTATTCAATTTTTTGTTTTAAAAATTCTAATTTCATATTGTAATTTTATAAGAATTTTTATATATTTTTTATTTTTTATTTATAAAAATTATGATCTTGAATTAGTTAGGAAAATAGACAAATAAATTTTTAAATCAAAAAATTGAAAAACAATTGTATTTTTTAGCATTTATAGTCTAAAAACAAAGTATTTTTTTCACAAAAATGCTTCAAAAATTGTAAAAAATCAAATTTTTCATTCGGTAATTTTTTTGTTGATTCAAAAAAATATTTTCTACAACACTGAGCACGAATTTCAAAATTTACCAATTTTCAGGAAAAATAATCAATAAACAGACAAAAAGGGTCAAAAATACTTTCTGACCGATTTTATTTTACATTTTATTTTTTGACCATTGAATTTCTCTCAAAGAATTTAGTATAAAAACAATTTTATAGAAGATTTAAATTATAAATTTAAATTAATTTATAAAAATACACTAAAATTAAATTTTCAAAGAAAAGAAACGTTTTCTTTCAATTTTAAAAAAATCTTTGATTCAAAAATCGAAATTAAAATTTTGCATTCCTCAAAAATAAAGAATTAAATAAAAAAACACTAACAAAATAAAAAAATACAATTTTGTTATTGAATTTTGTTAAAAAAATTATTAACTTATTTAACTTAGATTCTATAAGGTGTGAAAATAGGTCAATCGATGAGTTTTTAAAGTGCAGCTACAATACCATTACAAAAAAGAACTTATATAAAAAAAGATACCAAAATACTCAACAAACAAATTTTTCTTTGAATATATTGAAGGAAAATAACAAACATATCGAAAATGAAAATTCCTGCTATTAAAATACTTTCGCAATGAGTAAGCAACAGGAAAACAAATTGAGATAATAAAAAATATAACGAAAAAAATATTCCCCTGACTTTTTTTTAATAGGTCAACAAAAATCGAAGTGATAGTCAAATCAAATAGTAAGTAACCCAAATTTTATTATGAATCAATAAAATTATTCTAAACTTCGAAAATATTAATTTATCTGTAATTTATAAAATAGTTTCAGATTTTTTAGGGAATTGTTCCTAGATTATTGATAAACTAACAAATTAATAATAAAACTTTGTCAAAATAAAAAATTATTTCTTTAAATTTAAATGACTGACTTCCCTGACCGTTAGACACCCTGAATATTGAAAATATTGTTCTCAATTTGATATTAAAATAGAATTTTTTCCCTGAATATTTAACAATAAAAAAAATTTTTCAAATATATTTGAAAATCAAAAATTTCCCTTGAATACCAAAGTTTAATACTAATTTCAGTTTTACAAAATATTTTATGTATTTAATTATTTAAATAGAATAGAAAATAATTTAATAATTTAAATAGAACAAAATTTAATATTTTAAGTAGAATAGAATTTAATATTTTAAATAGAATAGAATTTAATATTTTCAATATTTGGTATACCTAAAAACTAAAAACTAATTTTTACTCCAAAAAAATTCCAAGACCTTCTCATTTTTTATGAGAATATGTAAAAATTTTATTAGTAAAAAAAATTTCTATTGGATTATTTTCTGTACAATTAATTTAAAAAAACTGTATTAATCATTTTGGAAAATATAGAAAAATTTTCAAAATTTTCAAATTATTTTTAATAAAACTTTTTTTTTTAGAAACACGTCTATTAATTAAATATTTTCTTCCAATTCAAATTATCATCATTCTTACAAGTTCACAATAAGTTAATTACGAATGAATAAATCAGCTAATTGAGAATATCGACAATTTTCTAATAAATTACGCGATAAATATAGTTTATGAAAATTTTATAAAAGAACTTTTACAAATCTCGAAAGTACTTAAAAAAACAGTTAATATAAAAATAATCTTTGACTAACATTCTTCATACAAGTATAAAGGGGAAGGGAGGAGGGTTTTCTTTAGTGGGTCAAAGATAATATGAGTGCTGCTTGATTAACGTGATTACAATCTTGAAACTATTTCTGATAAACTTTTATTGTTAAGAAAACTTATCTTTAAGAAAATAGATATTGTTTCAGTAAATGTCACTGATTCACAAAAAAAAAAAAGAATGAAAAGAATAAAACGTTTAAAAAATATTTCCTCTTTCAAAAATCAACTGCTCCAAAAAATTCAAAATCTAACTTTGATAATTTAAATTTCTGTAGGTTTGATTTGAAACTAAAAATCTAAATTGCTGCTAAAAGCGAATTCCAAAGGTATTTTTCTCAAGGGACAAAAAAAGGGGAACAGTTTTTCTAAGAGGCTCAAATTGAGACAAAAAACGTAACCAAATGGTTGGCAACAATTTTGTTCCGTTTTTTGTCTCAATTTGAGACTCAATCCTTAGAAAAACTGTGGGTCCTTTGATTTACAGAAAAATAATTGAATGAATTCTGATCCTTTTGGATCAGAATTTAAATTCAACTGGGATTTAAATCCAACTCCCTTGGGAGTTACTTTTTGGACTAGTGTAAAATAAATGGAGGGAGAACGTCCTTATGGTTTCTTTTTTTGAGAATTTTTAATATTTTCGAGTTAGTCTCGATTTAGTTGGGAATTTTTTGACCCCTCTCTTTGCAGTTCGCCTCTCAAATTGACCCATCGTACTCAACCCACATTGAACCAGGTTCCCTCAGCCCTCAGCCCTACTCTGATCCCCTAGCTTTGTTACCCATATAGTCAATGCCTCACACTCTCTATCCGTCTCTGTTTCCCGCTCAATCCCCCTTGGCATCCCATTCCACTTCCCTCCTCCTCATCCTCCTCCTCTCAGTTGCCACAGCTTCCAACCTTTTTACCTCCCTCCTCCTCTCACCCCTTTTTATCCCGTTCTCCCTCACGCGCACCACTCATTATAGTTTCTCCCTCGCGTCATGCTGTTCTCCTCTTTCGTTTTCTCTCTCTCTCGCTCTTTTCTGCCTCCGCCTGCAATTCTCCCGACACATCCATCCGGCACCCCGCCCCCTCGAACTACCGCAACCCCGGGAAAACCCTGGAAAATCCAGCCCGCACCTAACCTCACTCACCGTAGGCACATAAAATGCACGCACGCGTATATGCGTACGTAATGGCACCGGCCTGGCCACTGGAGCGTAAAAATGTTTATTAAAGGCTGATCGAAATCACTGTCGAATGCTGCTTGCATTTCAAAATAGTCCATCTAATAGTTTCTTTTTCTAAACTTGCCAAACGAAAAATTCGTTTTTTCTTCGGGAAATATTCTCTCCATAATACTGTTCTTAGAGACAGTTTTTCTGTTTTGCAATCTCAACTTACAGAAATGATTTCCTGGTCCAGCGTAATGATGTCCTTTGTAGGCGGCGAAGAGTCCAGGATTGATTCCAATCTGAAAGACAAAGTAACAATTAATTTCCCTTCAAGCACTCAATTTATCGTTTAATTATAAAACTTTGTTTTTCATCGTCAAGCACATCAGGAATAAATAAAATCGACATCAAGTTTTCCTGTTTCGGAAAGGAAAATTCCGATTTTATTTATTCGGGAAAACTTGATTCCGACTTTTTCAGAACTTTCCCTACATTACTTTTCTTTTCTAAATTCATAATTTATAACGTGCTCCAAATTTTTTTTTTTCAAACAGAAACATATTTCCACGAGAACAATTTGAATTACTGTACATTTTTTGTCGCACGATCTTAAGAAAGAAAACTAAATTGAATCTTCTTAAATATGCCTTTTAGAAAAAAAATTCGATTTTACAATAATTAGAAAAAAAATACAATTCTATCGTAACAACTTACGGACAGAATCTGCGCTCATTCGTATTTTCGAAAATACCCTACGAATTAAAAATTGAATCAAATTCGTTTTCGATATCGACAAATGTATAAAAAATAAATTTTCTCTTTTAATTAAACAATAAATTTCAAAATTTTTATTTTAATTTTTAAATAAACTTTTAAATAAATTTTCTGTTTTAATTAAACAGGAAAATTTTAATTTTAATTTTTAAATAAACTTTTAAATAAATTTTCTGTTTTAATTAAACAGTAAATTTTAATTTTAATTTTTAAACAAACTTTTAAATAAATTTTTTAATAAACTTTTAAATAAATAAAAAGAAAAAAATGAACTAAAAAGTGAAAAATGAACTAAAAAGTAAAATGTTGGACTGAAATTGAGAATTTCTTTTGGAAATATACTTTGACAAAGAATGAATTAACTTCGGGAAAAAATAATTAGAAATATATAATCCAATACATCTTCTGAATATTGTATGGCTGGAAAAAAGAGAAGGCGATAAAAAAACAAACTCGGCTGCTTTCGATCGACTACAAATTAGCGAGCGGTCGAGGCTTATTTCCACCTCGTTTCCGTCAACGGCGACAACGATGACTCTATCTCATTGAAAAGGGGTCGTTCACATCGGTCGATGCAACTAAGAAGCATGTATATTTAAATATATATATAATAATCTTTTTTCCCCCGTCCTTTTTCAAATTAAAATATATAAGTTTTTCGTTCTATAAAATCTACTGTTCTTCTAAAATCGCAAACGTTTTTCTAAAAAAAGAGAAAAATATTCATTTTCAAAAAAACTTTAGGAAAAACCCTTTTTTTTTTGCTAAAAAAAATATAAACATTTTCTCTGGATACAAAAGTATCAAGAAAAAAATTACCCTCTGAATAAAAAACTACCAAAAAAAATTATCAAGAAAAAAATAAAAAGTTTCCTTGAAAGATCCCGTCCTTTACTAAAAAATTATAAACGTTTTCTCTGGATAAAAAACTCAAAACAAAAAATAATCTAAAAGAAAATAAGGTAGGAAGAAAAAAAATGAAAAATTTCCTTAAAAGAAAATGAAATTTCCACTTGAAAACAATATATAGGAAAAAGATTAACTAAAATGTCAACTATTGTAAAACTCGTTAGGTGAAAAAATCCCAAAATTCCCAACCACTTTTGTTTGTTTTTTTCATATTTTTTTTTTTTGATTTATTGAACTGACCTTCGAAATGCTATTTGTATTCAAATCCAATCAATTTCAGATTCCAAACTTTAATTTTTCGGTTAAAAAAACACATTTATTTGGAGCAACAAAAAAAATGAATTGAAAGTGAAAAGAGTATAATGTTTGAAAGAAAGTAAAAGTATATTAAGGAAAAATTCAATAAACAATCGAAATCGATATTGAAATTTTAAAAAATTTTGAATTTTAAATACGAATTTTAGTTCAAAAATCTGAAAAAGTTTTTTAGAAAAATGGAAATTTTTTATTCAAATCTGTTTGTAATTAGTTCAAGTTTTTGAAAACAAATTTTGCATTTAATTGAAATTTCGTGTAATTAAATTGAAAACAAGTGGATTTCAGATTTATTTTAGTTAAATTTTTTTCTTTGAATAATTGATTTCTCAAAGAACTTTCACAAAAATTATTCAAAATAATTTATTTAGAGATGAAGAAAAATAAATAATAATTATTATTATTCTAGAAAATAATTCAATCGAAAATAGAAAAGGTTTTTCGTGAAGTAGCAATTTTTATAATATTCATTAAATTTCAAAAGGTGTCAAACTAAAATTTAAGAAAATTTGAATTTAAATAATTTTAATTCAAAAATCTGGAAAATTTTTATTCAAAATTTATTAAAATTCGTTGAATTTTTGAATTTTAATTGAAAAATTGTTGTTTAATTAAAATTTCGTAAAATTTAATTATAAACAAGAGTATTTTAGACTTATTTGAGGTAAATTTTTTATTTTTCTTTGAAAATTCAAGAAAATGAATTGAAATCTAGAAAATAAATTTTTGTCAAGTAGCAATTTTTGTAATTTGTTGAATTTCAAAAAGTTTCAAACTAAAATTATAGAAAATTTGAATTTTAAATAATTCTAATTCAAAAATCGGAAAAAGTTTTTACAAAAAATTTTTATTCAAATTTTATTAAAATTCGTTGAGTTTTTGAATGTAATATTCGATAAAAAAAATTTTTTTTTTTTTCAAATTTCGGTAAATAAAATTGTAAACAAGTGGAGTTCTGATTTATTTTCGGTAAATTTTGCTTTTTCTCTTTGAATAATTGAATTTTCAAAGAACTTTCTCAAAAATTAAATTGAAAATAATTTATTTAGAGAAAAATTTAAGTAAAAAATGAGAGAACATCATTGAATTGAAATCTGGAAAATAATTTTTGTGAAATAGCAATTTTTCTAATTTTTCTAATTTATTAAATTTCAAAAGGTTTCAAACTAATTTATTCTTAATATTTATGTATTCTTTTTATTTAGAATTAAATTGGCATATTTTCCAAAAAGGGAATTTAATTTTCATTCAAAAATTGCACAATTTACTCCCAGTAAGAAACAATTTAGGTAACGACCTGAAATTGGACAAATTTGTTCTTATTCCAATTGGTTCGTTTTTTAAATTCAATAATAAATCCGAAATCGATTAACTTTTCTGTTTTGCCTATCGTTCAATTCCTCTCCTGAAAAAAAGGAGTTCCTTGGAAAGGGAAAACATGAAAAAAATGTAAAAAACTCAAAGAAGAAAATGAAAAGAAGAACTGATCAATTGAGGGAAAATATTGTGAAATAAGAACAATTGTCGATGGAAAAAAAACAATCAACCCCGGATGCTTTTATTAAAAAAAAGGGGAGAACACTATTCACCTTTGAAATACACTTTTTTTTTAACTGTGCAGGTCGACAAAAGTCTAATCTGTACATCGTTCCGTTGATTACGTAACACATTCTGTAGACGTAGAGGTACCTGTTGCGCAATAGAATTTTCTTCGTTCTTGGCTTTAGAGGTTGGGTAATTAATAACGACAAAGTCCAAGGATGCATTGAACATAACTCTATCAGGAAGATAAAAAAGTCTTTCATTTTCTAGATGTGCGCGATGTGCGCGATGTGCGCGCATGTAAACAATATACATTAGTCAGACTCGTTGGAAATCTGTTACAGAATTAGTAATGAGTTTAACACGAACGATATACGAAATTCTCTGGGAATGACCTCGACGAAATTCGAGAGATAACAAAGAGAGGGATGTCGTGGGATAAATGCATGTACAGAGATAGAGAGAGAATTTTGCCAAAAAGGGGTTTGGTTGGAAATATAGGGTGCTTTGCCTCCGTCATCCGCGTGTGTGTGTGGAATGGTATCAAAGGGGGGTGGAATCGTTTTACATCGTTAGGTTGTGAACGAAACGAAACGAACGAACCTGGCCCATAAAGTACGTATCGCATTAGCGTGTTAACGCCAATGCGTTAGTCGCTCGGTTGGCGTTGAATGGCGACCTGGGATAAACGAGGATAAAATGACGAGGCTGGAATTGTCTCGATTGAAAAACAACACTTCGATCGTGTTACCTCAATCTACCTATATGTATTATTCACATTGCGGCCAATAACCGAATCATACACGAACTCATAAACTGTCAAATATTCTAGGCATTCGAACTGTTCAACCTTGCAAAATTAGTTTTTTCCTCTTCCTCTCTCTCTCTCAAATATCGATATTACAAAATTTTGCTTTTTGCAAAAATTTCGTTTTCTCTATCGCTGATTTCCAAAGAGAATTTTCACTTACTCTCTGAATCTAAAAAATATTCTCATTTTCTCCAAAAATAATTAGATACACAAACAACTATTCGTAATACAATAATTTGTAAATATCTTAAAATATAAAATTCTACGAAACAAATAGATTTTTTTAGATCCTAAATCATTATTATTTTTCCATAGAAATTAGGATTTTAGAAAATTTCAAATTTAAAACCCTCTGAAATTGAAACTGCTACTTCCCCAAAATTATTGTCAATATTTTATTTCAATTATTTTCTCGAATTTTCAATGAAAAAGATAAAATTCATCTAAAATAAGTCTAAAATACTCTTGTTTATAATTAAATTTTACGAAATTTCAATTAATCGACAATTTTTCAATTCAAATTCAAAAATTCCATGAGTTTAAATAAAATTTGAATATCAGTTTTTCTAAAATCACAAACTTTTTTAGATTTTTGAATTAAAATCATTTAAAATTCAAATTTTCTTAAATTTTAGTTTGAAACCTTTTGAAAGGTAATAAATTATAAAAATTATACTTCACAAAAATCATATTCCAGTTTCAATTCAATTATTTTCTACGAATTTTCAACTCAAACTTTTCTCTAAGTCAATGATTTTTAATATTTTTTAAGAATTCAATTATTCAATGAAGAAGAGAAAAATTTACCGAAAATAAATGTGAATTCCAGTTGTTAAGAATTTAATTTCACGAAATTTCAATTAAATGCAAACTTTTCAATTGAATATATATTCAAAAATTCAAGGAATTTTAATAAAATTTGAATAAAAATTTTTCCAAAAAAATGTTTTTTCAGATTTTTGAATTAAAATTATCTAAAATTTTAGTTTGAAACCTTTTGAAAGGTAATAAATTATAAAAATAATACCTCACAAAAATCATTTTCCAGTTTCAATTCAATTATTTTCTACGAATTTTCAACTCAAACTCTTCTCTAAGTCAATTATTTTTAATATTTTTTAAGAATTCAATTATTCAAAGAAAAAGAGAAAAATTTATCGAAAAGAAATCTGAAATTCATTTGTTTACAATTTCATTAAACGAAATTTGAATTAAAAGAAAATTTTTGAATTGAATATATTATTAAAAATTCAACGAATTTTATTATAATTTGAATAAAAAGTTTTCAAAAAAACTAACATTTTCAGATTTTTGAATTAAAATTATTAAAAAATTAAAATTTTCTTAAATTTTAGTTTGAAACCTTTTAAAATTTAATAAATTATATAAATATTACAACTTCACGAAAATTATTTTCCATATTTCAATTCAATTATTTTTTCGAATTTTCAACTCAAATTCTTCTCTAAATCAATTACTCTGAATAATTTTTGAGAAAGTTCTTTCAGAATTCAATTATTCAAGGAAAAAAAACAAAATTTACCTTTAATACTTTTGAAATCTACTCGTTTATAATGCAATTTTACGGAATTTCAATTAATAGAACATTTTTTAATTAAAAATATATTCATCAAATTCAACTTATTTCAAACAAAATAGAATAAAAATTTTTTGTCCTACCTGCACGGAAAGTATGTCATTTCGGGCACTTAAGGCGGGCGCAAAGTAACACATTACGCCCGGGAGTGGGGGAAGCGGGCGGAAAAGTATTTTGCGCCCGCTTGTATGACGTCAGCGGGCGGTAAAGTATTTTCCGCCCGCTTCGCCTACCTCCGAGCGGGCGGAAAATACTTTACCGCCCGCTTGTTAATTATTCGATTTTCTTCATTAAAATGCGACATTTTCGACTTTCTTTTTGTGTTGACTATAAAACTGCAAACATTTTCAACTTGTTTTATTTTGTCTATAAAAATTTGCAATTTTTTTTTATTTTCTCTAAAAAAATAATGAGACATTTGGTTTTGTTCCCATTTCGTTTATCAAAATTGTCAATTTTAAAAGTTCTTGTTTCAGTTTTGTTTAATTATTAATTACTACGTTCTAAATAAATACTATGTTTCCAGAATACATTGTTTTTTATTTCTATTTTAAAACTTCTATCATTATAGACTTCATTCGATATAATGTTTATATAGAGCTTAATTTTTAACTAATATGAGCGTTTAATCGTGCGTGCCCTCTATGCCATACTTTCCATGCAGTTAGGACAAAAAATTATGTTCGCATCATGGGCGCAAAGGTGATTACGACTTTGGCGGAATTTCGGGACCTCGGGGACACTTTCGCTCCCTCGGCTTCGCCTCGGGCGCGAAATTGTGTCCCCTCGCTCCCTTCATTTCGCCATCGTCGCAATCACCTATTTTGCGCCCTTGTTACGAAAATAACTATTTCGAAAATCTTTAAAAAACTAATTAATATTTTAGATTTTTCAATTAAAAATGATTTAAAATTCAAATTTTCTAAAATTTCAATTTGAAAACCTTTTTGAAATTCAATTATTGATGAAAATTGTGATCGCAACTCTTAAAATTCAATTATTTTTCTAGTTTTGAAGTAAAATTATTCGCTAAACAATTTGTAAGTAATAATTATATGATTGCTCATCAAAAATTAAATTATCGAAAATAAATTCAATTTTATATTCTCTACATTTCAGGTTTTGTCAAAAATAGAAAAAATTTACGATTTTGAATTAAAATTCGTAAGTGATTTCAAAGTTTGGATGGTAAACATAAAGAAATTCAAGAAGAATGAATTCTTGTTAATATTTTTAAAGTTAACTGGACAAAAAATTCAGAATTTTCTCATTAATTCTAGAAATTTAATATTTTTCCTGACTTTTGATAAAATTCCCTGACATTTTTTTGATTTTCCCAAATTGAATTTACTTTTCCTGACTTTTTCTGGAATTCCCTGATTTTCCTGAATTCAGTCCTGAAGAATTCTTCCATTTAGCGGTAAGAATTCTAAAAATACGTCTTTTTAATCTAAATTGATTTTCTTTATCAAAATAAGGGATTTTTTTACTAAAATAAGAAATTTTTTTTCTCCTTGCTAGAAAGTTGTTTGCTGCCGATAGAGAAATAGTAACTAGTCACTATTAGCCAAAGTTTACCGATTCGTTTTCAATCGGGGAAAAAACCTCTCTTCAACTTGCTACTTTTATCCTCTAAAAAAGTATTTCGTTTAAAAAAGAGGAGTTGATAAAAATGCAATAATCGTTGTGTATCGCTCTAGATTAATAGTGAATTGACTCACTATGATGATGTCGAGATTATTGGTAAGGTGATCCGGTAACACACGTTTGCTCACTTCCTCTTCCGGCATTCCATCGAATCTATCGTGCTTCTTCCTCTCCTTATACGTCTTGGCTTTCTTTTTAGCTTCTGCTAGTTCCGCTCTAAAACACGTGAAAGAGAACTTGTTAAGAGCAACTCCAAATAACTATTTTATAAAACTTTTTAAATATTTCACTATCAGTGCAAAAAAAAGAAACAAAATAGTCCCTCCTTCATTACATAGAAATAAAATTCGCATTTAATATTTTTTATAAAGGTTTAGTGACAAAATATGCGCAGAGTAAAGAAAAAAAATGGTTCAAGAAATAAAAAATGTTTTAAAAAAAGGTTAAAACAATGTCTATAATAAATAAAAGGAAAAACGATTTCAATAAATAAATATAAGACCATTATTAATCTGCTATTTTCGACTCACTCTTCCGGCGTTAAAATCATTTCAGATTTTTTCTTTCGACCGCGCTTTTTCGGTTGATGCACTAATTGCGAATTCACAGCACCGTTCATTAATAAATTCATTTGATGTTGATTCGATAAGGAACATGGCGGCGTGGCAGTTCGAGTTCCCAAACCTGGCGGCGTACCTCCAGGACACGCCATTGGATCGGGATTTATTCCTGGACTACTCGCCGTCCTAATGCCACCCATTGACATTTCCTCATCAACAAACGAATAAGGATCCACTGGCGTCTCACATTTTATTCCCACCTGACGAACAAAATCAACTTCAATTAATATCATCATTTTATAAACAAGGATAATCAAATTTTTCTTTAACGTCATTTTCAAAATTACATTAATCAAATTAAAATCATGAAAGGGGGACGAAAAAAAGATCAATACCCTCTGCACACTGCACTCTCTATATATTACAAAATAGAATAAATTAAAACAAAAATAGTACGTTAAACTCGGAAAAATTATGTTTCAAACAAATATTCTATTTTCTTATTGTATAAACTTTATTTCTTTATTTTTATTTATTTAAAAATAAATTTTTATTTGATTTAAATAAACATTTGCTAAACTTCTTCTATCTTTGATAAAAAAATTTTGGTAAGTTTAATAAAAGTCTTCAAAGAACGAATTTCGTCATCAGAAGCAAATTTTTAGTTGAACCAAACAAATATATTGAGAGCAATGGATTTTTTACTTCATTCAACCAAAATATCGTTGTTTCAAACAAATTTTTCCCTATGTGTACAGGGTTGCCACAAAAATTTAATTTTCTTTTTCCGATTTCTAGACTAAATTTTAACTTTTGCTCTGTCTCTAAAGAATATTCTGATTCACACTAAAAATTATTTGACACAAAAAAAATGTTTGTAATACATTTATTTCTGAATATCTTTAATAATAAAATTATTCGAAACAAAAAAAAATGTTTTTAGATAAATATTTAATGAATATTATTATTTTTTTACAGAAATTAAAATTTTCAAAAACTTTGAATTTCAAATCCCTTAAGATTCGATAAATTAGAAAAATTGACACTTCTCTAAAATTATTTTCAAGATTTCAATTCAATTATTTTCTTTAATTTTTTACTCAAATTTTTCTGTAAATAAATTATTTTGAATAATTTTTGAGAAAGTTCTTTGAGAATTCAATTTTTCAAAGAAAAAGAGCTAAATTTACCGAAAATAAATTTGAAATCCACTTGTTTTCAATTTAATTTTACAAAATTTCAATTGGACGAAAATTTTTCAATAATTTTATAAATATTCAAACATTTAACGAATTTAAATGAAATTTGAATAACAATTTTTCAAAAATATAACTCTTTTAGATTTTTTAATTAAAATTATTTAAAAATTCTAAATAACTAAAATTTTAGTTTCAAACCTTTTGAAATTCAACAAATTATAAAAATTGCAACTTCACCAAAATTGTTTTCAAGATTTCAATTCAACTATTTTCTTGAATTTTCAACTAAAATTCTTCTCTAAATCAATTACAAAATATCTCCTAAAATATTTCTAAAGTCCACTTTTTTTACAATTCAATTTTAAGAAATTTCAATTATTCAACAATTTTTCAATGAAATATGTATTCAAAAATATGAGTAATTTAAAAAAATATGAATAAAAATTCTCGAAAAAAATAATTTTTTCGAATATTTTAATAAAAGTTTTTTAAAATTCAAATTTTCCAAAACTTTAATTCTAAATTTTTTGAAATTCAATTAATTATATAAATTGTAGACGTAAATTTACTAAAATTAAATTATGTTTGAAATTTTTAAGAGAAATTATCAAATAATTAAATAGAATTATTTTTTTCTAATTCAAATTTTCTAAAACTTTAGTTTGAAATTTCTTGAAATTCAATTAATTATAAAAATTGAAAACGCAAATTTATTAAAATTGAATTTTTTTTTGAAATTTTTAATTAAAATTGTCAAATAATTAAGTAAAATTATTAAATTCTAATTGCTACATCCCGAAAATTATTTTCAAGATTTCAATTTAGTTATTTATTAGGATTTTTAACACAAATTTGTCTCTAAATCAATGATTTTTAATAATTTTTTAATTTTTAATAATAAGTCTACTCGTTAAAAATTCATTCAATTTTACAAAATTTCCAATTTCAAATTAAAAAAAAAGAATTGAAATAAAATTAAAACTATTTCTGAATTTGGAATGAAAATTATTATAAAATTCAAATTTAGCAATTTTATCTATTAATAAACAGTATATATTAAATTTTCTTCTCATCAATTTAAGTGTGAAAAAAATTTGAAGAATCATAAAAACGAGACTAATAATAAATTTGCAGTTGAGGAGAAAAACATTTAAAAATGTCAAGTGACGCTGATTTTTCCATGATATGAAAGTTAGATTAATAAAACATTTTAAAGAACTTGATATTATAAAATACTACTGATTATCGAGATAAAATGACAAGTTTGATGGGACTATATTTAAATAAAGATGGTAAATATTATTTATTAATTAGTTTGTATAATATTCATGGATATATGCATATCAATCTATTTCAAATTTATGTCAAAGACAGAGAGAGAATATACAATATATTAAATTTTGTAAAATACTTTTACAAAATTTAATATACATAATTATATTCTCTCTTCGTGTAATAAAAAAGGCAAAAAGACCAAAAAAGAGAAGTTTTACGTTATGTTTGTAATTTTTGGAGTAAAAATACAAAAATAAAATCAAATACCTACGAATAAAAAAAGTATGAGGAAGCAATTAATGATTAAATTAAAGGATCCTTTTTAATTCTAATAAAATGGATCCTTTAATGCAGATAAATTCGTTTGCTCCTTAGATCCATTTCTTATCAGAGCGCATCACACATATCTATTTCTTTTGTAAAGGAAAAATCATTTTGTATGCGAGATATTTCCTTTCATTTTTAAGGACCAAAGGGATTATTTTAACATCATTTTTCTTTCAAAGGACATCCCTCCCCCTTCCATTCTATGCATTAGGAGAAAAGTGTTCTTCTCTTGCTTGTCCCATTTGCTGTATGAATAGTATTACAAACGAGGGAATTGTGACAGAAGAAACAGATTGTTCATATTAATTTTCTTTTCTTTTTTTTTTAAATTTATAATATCACGCAGAGAACAATTTATTTGAAACAACCAAATTTTCACTGAATCAATCAAATAATTTGCTTATAATTAAGTAAATAATTTTTTCCTATTTTTTAATATTAAGTAATCCACATGTTTACGATTTAATTTTATGAAATTTCAATTAAACGAAAATTTTTCAATTAAATATATATTCAAAACTTCTACTAATTACAAGCAAATTTTCATACAAATTTTTCAAAAAACTGATTTTTACATAATTTTTAAATTAAAATTATTTAAAATTCAAATTTTCTAAAATTTTAGTTTGAAACCTTTTGAAATTCAAGAAATTATAAAAATTGCTACTTCTCCAACATTATTTTCAAAGTTTCAACTAAATTTTACCCTTCTTCCAAAACGAATTTAAAATTTATAACACTGAAGAAAGGTACCTAAGAAAATATTATTTTAAGGTTATGTTTGTCATTTTCTTCTTTCTCTGTTTAATTTAAAACAAAATTCTGTTTTTATCGAATATTTTTTATCTAATGAAGAGAAAACCAGTGCTTTATAGTCAAAACTATCAAGTATTTATTTGGTTGTAAAACACTGGTTTTCTTTTTATTATTTTCTTTTAAAAAATTACAAACATAACCCCAAATTTTTTGCTCCTTAGTTATCTTTCTTCAGTTTTATTCCGTAGGTTCTGAAGATTCTGAAGTGACAATAATTCTGATACAATTCTACATGCTCACATTTGTTCTTTTTTTTTAAATACGAAATTGACACTGAGACTAACATTTTGTTATTTGACTCCTTAATCACAGTTTCTTCTTAAAAAAAAAAAAAAAAATTCAAAAAGAGAGGAGTAATTTATTTTCGTTGAAATGCATCAGTGGGTTAATTATACTGAATATATATAGTATATATATGGGCAATATATTTAATATATAGTAGGTATATATATATATGCAGAGGAAACCAAGTTACCTGACCAAGAGCGGCGGTCGAACCAGGTTGCTGGGGTTGGTGCGGTGTTGCTGATATAGGTGTAAGTGGTGTATGAGGTGTGTGTGGTGTGTGTGGTGTATGTGGTGTTAGAGGTGTATGATACTGTTGGCTACTGTCACCGCCAGTACTTCTCATTTCAAGATCAGGACTCGTCTCATAACCATCATCTCCAGCTTCTTGTTTCACCAATACACCTTTATGCAAAAGAATCACAGATTAATTTCAAATCATAACATTTCCATGCGTTTCTATTCGCTGACAAAATAATTCCCAACAAGAAAAAGAGATCAAAATTATTCAATCTCGAATTTTTATCATTTACTATTGTTAGAATTAAATTATATTTTTATTTTACTCTCTAAATTTGAATTAGGAAAATTTTTTACTAATTTGCATTAGCCACTGACTTTTTGCTTTTTAATTAGTCAATTTTACTAATAAATTAGTTATTACTATATTAAATTTTACTCATAAATTAAACATTACTATATTAAATTTTACTAATAAAATAGTAATCACTATTTATTAGTATAATTTACTAATTTAAAAGCAAAAAATCAGTCACTGATTCAAATTAGTAAACATTTTTACTAAATTCGAATTTAGAGAGATTTTCAAAATAAGATTAAACTATTATAAAAAACAGTAATTTTTCTATTCACTTTCAAAAGATTTATTTAAGAATAAATAGGTATTCAGAATAAATTTCAAAATTAACAAAATCTAATTTTAATCTCTTTTTAAAAAACTATTTGCAGCAGAAAGAAACGAATTTAACTTTTAATAATTAAAAACACAGGATATGAGTCTATTTTAGAAAAAAATGAAAAGAAATTTTAAAATGATGATATATTTATAATAAATTTATAAATATAAATTTATTATTTTATAAAATATTTTCCAGAAATGAGATAAGTAAAAATAAAACTAAAGTACGCTAATATTACCTCATTTTTAAATACATATTTTTAAAAAAATATACCAAAAAAGACAATCTAAATCAGTAAATTTAATATTATCTCATCGCAATAATTACAAACTCATAAGAAAGTATTATTTTTTAAAACATTTTCACTATCACCGGAAATATCATTTCAAATTCAAATGTACGTGAAAAATATATTTTCAATATTATAGAAACTGAATTTTCATTTCTTTTTTTTTAAATATATTTAAATGCACATTGTACATATTTGCTGAAAATTTTATGCGTACACGAAAAAATAAATTGACTGACATAGATCGTGTTCTTTCTGAAAATTCACTGGAAAATATCCGCAAATAAAAAAAAGGATAAAAGCAAATACATGATATATGATGATGAATTCTAATTATTTTTACGTATAAAACACAGTAAATAAAAAGAACATAAAACGATTTAATTATTCTTTATAAAATTGTGAAAAAAAATTAATTTTCAGAATTTGAGTATAAAAAATGTACGAAAAAAAAATATTTTAGAGTAGAAATTTTTAATCATTTTAAAATATTTCAAGATTTTGTTGAATTTTAAGATTTTATTATTAAAAAATAAAAATCAATAGAAAAAAAATCAAATTTTTAAATTTCTATTCTTATAAAAAGAATATAAAAATAAATAAATTATAAAATATAAAATCACTAACATTAGGTATTATGTAATATTTTATAGACAAAAATCTCCCATTTTTAATTATAATAAATCCTATCTATATGATTAATGAAATAAATAATTAATTAAATAAATGATGAGCAAACAAAACTTATAATTAAATAAACTAAATTGTTAGTAATTTACTACAACACAAATGTAAAATATATTTCTATTTTAAATATTCTGTAAATACTAAAATGTAAAACGAAAGCGATTTATACATTTTTAAATTAAACTACACGTTTCTATATATACGTCAATTAAGTTGCAAAACGTTTTTATACACTAAACGAAATACAAAAAAACAAATGTTCAGATTTTCAAATTTTCGCAACATTCCAATGGGAAATAAATATTTAAATTGCTCGTTTATTAAAAAAACATTTTAGAGTTCAATGTGTCATGTTTTTTTTTTGTTTTTTTCCAAAAAAAAGAATAATGAAATTTTAAGAGATTCGATTCGAAACAATAAAATTCTATTTTCCGTGGGGTAGTGACAATTAAACACCGTAATCCTATTACATGAATAATTAAATTATTCATAAAGACAAATAATTCAAATTTTCAAAACATTATTATAGCGATCGTTACTTTATTTATTATATAAATCTTTATTATTATTAATATTGATATTATACTATTTTTTACTAATATATTTTTTTGTACTAATACAGAAACTTCATTAAAAAATGAACAGAAATTTTATTGTTCTTTTAATACCTACTATTGTTATTAGTGTTATATTAATTTTCGACTAATATTGCTTAAAAAATTAACCAAATTTTATTTGAATTTTGCAAGAAACTAAATTTTAGTTTTTTTTAGAATAGTTTATTATTTTACTAAAATTCATATCAAGAGGAGAAGAAATTACTACCCCTTTCTTAATATTTCAAATCGTATAATTATTTGAAAAGAAATCAATGACATTAAAAAAGACTCTAAAAAAGTTAAAATCTTCTGAATATTTAATTTCACGATATTGCTTAAACTCTGCATTTAATATATTTAAGGAAATTTCTTTAAGAAAATCATATAAGATGTGTAACGTGTTCAATAAGTTTTGAAAATTTAACGACTACTGACAGTTCTTCAGGAAAAGTTGAAGGAAATTTTTTTCTTATTATGAAAGATCAATATTCATTTTTGATATATACTTTAATAGATTGAGAAAAAAAATTGTGAAGATTAAACCTCTCATCTCTATAATATCCATGTGTATCTATATTTATGAAGATTTTATTCGTGCTTGCGAAAAATATAATATGTTAAAACATTTTCAATTATAACTAAAAATTTAATTCAAATGATAAATGAAATATTAATTAGATTCATTTATTAATGTTCTGGATTAGAAATATTTCTCATGCATGTGACTCCAAGTTTCTTTTTATTTAAAAAAATCAAGAGACAAACGGAACAAAGTTATCAATAATGGACGGATGAATTTTGATTCTTTCTCAATTTTTATTCCATTTTAGAATATTAAAATCACTATATGATCTTCAATTATTTTTTATTGTTCAAATGAACGAATTTTATTAAAATTATTTTCATAAATTACCGATTGCAATATTTTATATTTATATTTAATATTTTTATTAATTTTTTTTTATAGTGACGCAAAATTATTGCAATAAAAATTCAATTTGAAGAAGAAATAAATAAATCTAATCCAATTGAACATTTCGAACTAAAGATTTATAATTTTTTTTTATTTTACTTTATTTTCTGCTAATTAACTTCTTCTTACTTAATTTGAAAAATGTATGCTTTAAATAAGATTCGGCGAAAATAATATAAAAACTGTTCATTCTTTCATGACAATAGAAAAGTAATTGATATAATTTTTTTAATAAAAACGAAATTGGGGTCAATTTTGAGTCTTTTAGGTACAATATTAAAAAGTTCTCTGTCTTCTATTAGAACTTATGTAACTCGATCGCGCTTTTATTTTTTTAGTATTCAACTATTTTTATATACACTCGCTCGCCGAACTTAAAGGTGAAAATAAACGACAAGTTAGAGTTTTATGAGTTCTTTTAAGGAGGCGTCCAAGTATTTTTCCACACACACAACTTTGAATTATCATTATCATTATTATTGACTATTTATTTCCCATTTTAATATTTATACAAAATACTCTTCTCTCTGAAAATTTATCACTTTTCTTTTACATTTTTTTATTTACATCAATTACATCTACAATATATGCGAGAAAATAAAATCCATAAACTAATTACTTCTACCATGCGGAATCAAAAGCTTATTTTTAGAAAAGATTTTTTTTCAAGCGTTTAACTTTTCCTTATAATTATATGATTTAACAAGAATTTTCTTATATTATTGTATTAGTATTTCTTTTTTTTTCTCGAAAATTTGTTATTTTTCAAAATGGTATTAATAAGGAATGTATAAAAAACATACCTAAATAATTAAAAAGTGGGTCAAACTGGTTCAATGCCAAATCTTAAAACAAAAAACATAGAAATAAAGGAAAGTGCGACTTTTTTTTAACATTCGAAAGTATAAGAAGATTACAAATGTTAAAAATTTACGAAAAATACAAATCACTGATTATATTTATATACATTTAAGAACGTTAGATTAGACAATTATTCTTTTGAATTTCAAAAAATAAATTTCACTTCGTTTTTTTTAATTACGACAAAAAGAGTAATAGTGTCTAATCTCCCGTCCCTCACATGCCCTTAATTTTCATATATTTTCAATTATATCTATATTTCAATTTTATATAACAATAAAAAACCAAATGCAACAAAACTTTAAATTACATTTCAATTATTTACACCTTTTATATAGAAAAAAATAAACAAAATGAAAAAATAAAACAATGAATAATAGAATTTTTGTTAATTTAATATTGAACAAAAAATTAACTTTGAATAATAATTTAAAAGCAAATATATATATTCATTTTAAAGAAGCCGTACAAACGGAGTCAAAAGTAACAGAAATTTTTGTAACATGAGAGAAATCAATACGAGTGTATCCTACCTTGTGATCCTCCACAGTTCATTGTCGGTCCGTTTTGTCCACCGTTGTGAACTGGCGAAGGATACCTAAAACAACAAAATTATTTATTTGTTAATAAAATCAGAAAAACATCCTATAAGAAATAAAATCCTTCTCTATACTCTATACATAAATAATGTACACAAAAATTAATTCCATTAAAAATTTTTTTGAATTTTTTTCCAAAATTGTTAAACTAAATTGAAAAATACTGACTTTTTGCTTTTGGATTAGTAAATTTTACTATAATAGATCAGTAGAAATTACTATTTATTAGTAAATTTTATTAATTCGAAAGCAAAAAGTCGGTTATCAAATAGAATTAGTTAATATTTTTACAAATTTCAATTAAATAAATTTATTACAAAATATATAATATTTTTTATTATTTATTGAAAAATATATATAATATATTTTGTAAAATTTTCTATAGTTTTAATAAATCTTTCGAAACCATTCAATTATTTTTTTTAAATAGTAAAATCTTTGCAAAAATTCACTTTTCCTAAAATTTTAATAAATCCTTTGAAACAATTCAATTATTTTTTTAAAATATAAAAATCTTTGCATAAATTAAATTAATTTCAATAAAATTTCACTAAAGTATTCAATTTTTTTCTAAAATTTTAATAAATTCTTTGAAACAATTCAATTATTTTTTTAAAATAGTAAAATTCTTCAAAAAATTCAATTATTTTCTAAAATTTGAATAAATCCTTCGAAACAATAATCAATTATTTAATTATGATCATTAACAGACACGATTATTTTTAAAAAATTGAAAAAAATTCTTTGTTTAATTCAATTATTGTCAAAGAAACTCCATTATATTTCAAAAAAATTAAAAGAAATTCTTCAAAAGAATTTAATTAGGATTTTTAAAAATTTTAATACAATTTTTCGCTGGAATTTAATTATTTTTATAAATAATAAAATTCTGTGAAGAAATTCAATTATTATTCTCAAATTTTTTGACAAAATTCTCTGAAACAATTCAATGATTTTTAATACATTAATTTTAAAATTTAAAATACTTAAAAAGAAAATTATTTATTATTAAAAATATATTTGACATTATTTTTCATAAAATATATAACTATAAGTTTACTACAAAATATTTAAAAATGTTATAATTGTATTATTATATAATACATAAATTAATTATATAAACTTTTTGATTTAATCAAGTCACTCGAATAAGCCACAAAATGACGTCATTATAAATTCTTTTCAAGTTAATTATTAAAATATCAGTGTTAATATGAAAAAAAAACTTTTGAAAATTAATGCAACTGCAATTAAAAACAATAAGAATAATTATTTATAAATGGATAAAATAATAATATAGTTTAAATTAAATTAAATTTAATTAAATTAAATTAGTTAAAATTGAGCTAATTCACATTAGTAAGAATATTTACTAAATTTCAGTAAAATACTATAACATAAATAATAAAATATAATATAAAATACTATACTGTTTTGTTTATTACATATTAAACACAAATTAAACATTTCAAACGAAAAATAAAATTGGTACAACAATTATAAAAAAATTATATTAAAAATTATATAAAATTACAATTATATAAAAAAATAATTATAAAAAAACTCAACAGAAAAGAAACTGTGAGAAAACCAAACAATAGAAACAGCTGTTTCTACTAAAACCCATCAGCGCGCATGCGTTAAGAAACAAAAAGAAAAAAGGGGACGTTAAGTACATTAGGTGTCTCTTTCTATCGACCTGATGCATTTTCAGGCCTCTCGTGTCCTCTGTTCTTATATCTATTAAAATATTATTCAAAATAATATTAAATAAATAAAAAATAAAATAAAAATAGGGTAACTGCACCAATTGCCGAGGGTGCTCCAATTGTCGAGGATAATAATTTTCTTTTTTAGATAAATAGTATAATATATAGTATTTAAGAACAAAAAAAATTTCTAAATAATCTTTGTATTTTCAACTGTATATTTATATATACAAATTTCGTAGCGATTCTACTAAAATAATTATTTAATTAATATTATAATTCACTGCTGTGAAATTTACACGAATCTCCATTTTCTTAATACTTCAGGTTGATTAAAACAGATTTTTAGAAATGCAAATTAAACGTATTTATAATGACTTTTTGTGTACAAAATTATTATTATAATTTTGTACACGAACTAAATTAATTTTGTATGCATGTTTTTTTGTTAAAAAAAAATATTTAATATTTTTTAAAAGCAAATCATCGGTATTTGGTTCCTTTTTTTTGACAGTTCCATTTTTCGAGGTAATGACTCGAAAATTGGTGTAGTCACTTTTTTCGCTGATGCACCATTTATCGATGGTTAAGTGTTTATTTACTAAACGTCAAACATAAATGCCAAACATTTATAGGTACAGAGAAAAAGAAAAAAAATGCTCCAAAAATTTACAACCAACAGAAAATAATCAACCAAAAAAACGAGGAAGACCGAAAAAAAATTAATAAAAAAATGCATTATTATTTAAAACTAAAAAATTTTGTACTATAGTTTAATTATAATTAACCATTATATTTACAGTTCGTAATAAAAGTTTATTTTATTCGTTTACAAATTTAATGTGACTTAAATTAATTTATTTTTTCAATTAATGTCTGATTAACAAAATTGATTTAATTTAATTAACTTATTTATAAAAGTTTAAAAAACAGTTAAATAATTTTCTGTCCTGTATCATCTACTATAAAAATGTTTTATATCGATATTATAAATTATTCAATTATAGTTAAATAAATATATTTGTTTTCTGGTAATGTTCTATAATATTTTTATCTAAAAAATAAATATCTACTCGATTTTCTAATATCTGTACAGGTTAATTGTTAGGTTATATTGGGTTATATGTTTAAAAATGTCATACCCTCGACAATTGGAACAGACCCTCGAGAAATTAGCACAAGACCATCGACAAATGGTGCTTTTGCTCGATTGACTTTTAAATATATTTTTTGCTTAACAATTTAGTTTATATTAAAAAAATAAATATGAATATTAAACATTATTAGATCCTTCGTCCAAATATACAAAAATCAAATTTTAAAGTGCATTTACTTCCGAGAAAAAAAATGTCAAAGTCACATGTTGCCTAAAATCCTCGACAATTGGTACAGTTACCCTAGTAATTAATAAAAAAATATAATAAAAATAATATTAAAAATTGCGGATTTGTTTATATTAAATAAATAGTAAGAATTTTACCGAATTTTAGTAGAAAACTATTAGTTTAATAATAGAAAACTACTAATTTATATATTTTATTCATATATTATTATTTATATATATTTTTAATAAAAAAAATATTTCGTACATTTAAATATTCAAAACTGTGGATCATTACTTTATAAATTTAAATTAGTAAAAGTGTTTACTAATTTGAATTAATGATTGATTTTTTGCTTTTGAATTATAGTAAATTTTACTAATTTAGTAGAAATTACTATTTATTAGTAAAATTTCCTAATTCAAAAGCAAAAAGTCTGTTACTAATTCAAATTAGTAAACATTTTTATTAATTCAACTTTAGAGAGTAAAAATAAATAAAATTCTTACTTTTTTATTGCCACAATTTTCTTGAAAGTATGAAATTGATACTAAAGTAGACCAAATTGATGACAAAAATTTAGATCAATTTTTGATTTGATTAGGTATCAATTCGTTGCAATTTGATACTTTTAAGTCAACAGTGTGATAAACCAATCTAATTCGTAGAAAACTTATCAAGATGTAAAGATAAAAATGGTTTTTCTAAACACAGTTTTTCTGCAGATATTGAATTGAGACAAAAAACGATTCGTTTTTTGTCTCAATTCAACATCTGCAGAAAAACTCTAAAGATTTTAGAAATAAAAAATTCAATTATACTCTATCCTAATAAAAATATCTCAAACTACATCGATTAAATTTCTCCCACACATACAAAGATGAATCAAAACAACCGCCAAGAGGTTAAAGTTTTAGGGAAAAAATTTTTTTGTCCACCGAATGACCCCAGGTGCGAAAAGTTGGTCGGGCCATGGTCGCGCCGACCAAGTGGATAGTCGTGCCGACCTTGGCAACCAAAGGTCGGCCGAACTAGCGAATTGTAACACCCGCCGTCCAGTGGCTGACATGGTCGGTCCGACTATGGCTGCCAAAGTCGGACCGACCAGGGGTGCCAAAGTTTTGCCAACCATGTGAAAGAATGTCGGCTTGACTTTGGCAACCATGGTCGTGCCGACCTTGGCAGCCAAAGGTCGGCCGAACTAGCGAATTGTAACACCCGCCGTCCAGTGGCTGACATGGTCGTGCCGACTATGGTTGCCAAAGTCGGGCCGACCAGGGGTGCCAAAGCTTTGCCGACCATGAGAAAGAAGGTCGGATTCACTTTGGCAACCTTGGTCGTGCCGACCTTGGCAGCCAAAAGTCGGCCGACCGATTGCAAAAAATTATTAATTATTTATTATTATTATTAATTATTATTATTCATTATTTATTTGTTTATTGTATACATCTTAACACTAAACGCAATCTTACACATAAATACAAATTAAAATTTCTAACGCTCGCAGGAATCGAACTCGCAACCTAACGCACCGAAGTCTAACACGCTAACCATTACGCTACGCTTACATGAAAGCCTAAGAACAAAAATGATTTTATAAGCTGCAACTTCAAACTGACCATCGGCCCGACTCTGGCCAAAGTCGGCCCGACCAAGTGAAATTAGGTTTTTTGCACTCTGGCTGCCATAGTTTTACCGACCGTCGGCCCGACTCAGGCCAGAGTCGGCCCGACCAACTAAAATTAGGTTCTCTAAACTCTGGCTGCCATAGTTTTACCGACCGTCGGCCCGACTCAGGCCAGAGTCGGCCCGACCAAGTGAAATTAGGTTTTTTGCACTCTGGCTGCCATAGTTTTACCGACCGTCGGCCCGACTCAGGCCAGAGTCGGCCCGACCAATTGAAATTAGGTTTTTTGCACTCTGGCTGCCATAGTTTTACCGACCGTCGGCCCGACTCAGGCCAGAGTC